TTGCAAAACCACAAAATCCCCTTTTTATAGTATAAAACATGACCACCATAAAACCTCTATTTAATATAGAATTAAAGGAAAATATTGAGGTTTTATGAGACAAAATAAAGTCTTTGTAGGTTTCAAGATGTTGGTCCAAATGACCTCATAAATTGGTCAAAGAAAATATTTAATAAAATATTATTTTTATTAAAAAACCCAACAATCCCCCACTATTTTAATAAAAATAAGAATAATAATAATATTTGAGCTCTTGCGGAATATTATGCATAATGAAAGTGAGCAATGCCTTGAAACCTTCACTTAGTACAATATGTTTCCCGTACTAGAATCAAAGTGGACTTAGCCTTGAAACAGTGACCCTTGGGGCACGTAGAATCATATTGCACACATAATACTCAAAGTGTCCCGATCGAAGCTTCTAAAGCCAGCACGTTAACGGCCATGTGCTTTACCCCATTTCTCGTGAGAGCTCTAGAGAACAGCCTATAATTCCCATAGGAAGCGGCCCCACTTCCACACTCACAAGGTGAATTCTATCAAGGATGTTTACGTAACTCCAACACCCCACCCATAAGGGCTATAGAACTCATTAAGAGATCAAAGTCTCAACCTCACAATTCGTTACGAGCTTTATTAGTGCACACGCACCATAGGGATGGATAATAAAAGTGTGCACTTTTATCATTATCAAGTTGCTTTCAGATTCGTTTTTCTTCGCCTAGTTCGTAGGATCTCTAGCCCCTAGGCGGTAGTATCCTCATCAACAACTTTACAAAATATATTAGGCTTTAATCCAATCCCCTCGATGCATTTCAGATGATTTCTGAAATAATGTGAAATATAATTTCACAATTTTAGTCTTATAGACTTTATGGTTTATTAACCATTTCTCATATAATTTCACTTAAGTTTTCACGCGATTTTTCACATAGATTCACAGTACTGTATTTTCTTTTAATGGTTCCGGATTCCATTAAAAGATTCTCGCAATATGCCAACTGCAGTTTTTCAATCACATCTATCAATGCACAAATCATTGATTTTTCACAATCTCATTAATCAAAGCACCAAGCATTTGATTTATCACACATTAGGATTTTATACATCACATTCGGTATCAACCGGCCTCTTCACATGCTAATGTCACAACAATCAATCAAAATTGATATGAATTTTGACTTATAAATTTTCGAAAACATGTAATCAAGTAGGAATATAATTCCTCTTATTTAAATTTTCAATAACCAACAATATTGAAAACTTTAAAAAATGTTTTACTTCACATATCACAAATCACAAATTTACAATCATAAAACGAGCAATTAAATACAGATCACATCAAAATCAATTATAACATGCTCATTTAGATAGGTACTAAAACCCCCACTAATTCTCAATATTAAAAGCTTGTATATCTCAACCTAATCATCATGAATTAAAATCAAGATAGAATATATCAACCACGATCATGCTCATTTTCATAATTAAAGAAAACTATAACACCCCCACTATTTCTTCATTTTATATATTTCATGAATAATTAATCAAAGTTATTCGCTATATCATAAGCATTAAAGAATCAAAATTCATTATGAAAATAGTCACTCAAGAACCATAAATGATTCTACCATGATAATGAAATGTCATTATGCATTCAATTATTCAATCTTCTTTCAAATAATATATTTTCAAAATTTTGGATTTATAACTTACTGAATATGCAAATGGGAAATTGCTAATCGGCACTAGCTACCCAACGTTAACTAAATAATAAATGTCATATAAATGCTCCAAATTCTTAATACCATGAAAACGATTTATTCTAACGCTTTAGATTTTTAATTCTCTACTAAATGAATTTGAATGATCAAATATATATATTTTCTACTAGTCATGTAAGTCATCTCGAGTACAAGCATAAAATAATAAAAAATAATCCACTTAGGTATACCACCTAACATGTTCAGCAATATAATTGCTATTAATTTATATTTTTAAATGTTCCATTTCATCGTAGAAGTCTACGCATAAATCATAACAGTCAATACAAATTTTGAGCAAATAGTATAATTTGAAATCATTTAAGTCATATAAAGGACCGTATATTATATTGAAATTCAAATCAATATATCTGATATATTAGATAAGTCACGCATACGTTCATGAATATAAACAATATAATGCAATGCAATAAAATTGTTCAAGACAACAATTAAATGGCATGAACATGCATTTTGATTCTTCTTTTTAACATACTCTTAGAAATGTCATTTTATATGTAAGTATTCTTCACACAACTATCACAAATTTATTATTGTATTGCAAGACATCATATTTAATTTGGAATCGAATAACGTACCAGATTTAATGAATATCAATTAGAAATTCTTTCGATACCTCAAAAACACGCACAATTTGGCAGCTGCAACAGTGCTCAGTATTTGGGGCATATCTCTCTCATTCGATGTCCGATTTCAGTGATTCAAGATGTTTCGGACAGCCAACAGAAATGTCTAAAGCTTTCGTGTTTTACACATTCTCACATTCTGACATTATCAGGTCCGAAACTGGCCTCAAAGTATAAACTCGTGAATTGCACAAAAATTCACCTACAACAAAAAAAAGATCATTAATTTTGTTTAGTCAACACAAGATAATAAATAAATATGAATCATCTCCCTTTTCATCATCAAGGGTTACTCTTTTGGATCATCTTCAAAGCTCGTCTTCATGGGATCAAAATTCGTCTTAAATTGTTGGAACCACGGCTGTAATTTGACGATTGATCACGAAACTTGTGGATTGATGCTTGTACTCCATTTGTTCTCTAATTTTATATGTAACAAGTTGCTGCAATAAAAACCACGATAATATGGAGATAGGCAAGGTGAGGCGCGGACTAGGTTGCTCTCTTAAGACGAATTTCACGACCCCTTCTCTAACGAGGTGCAAAAAGGTTCCGATCGTGTCGCCTATGGGATACAACAGCCCAGCCTATCTCTCCGATGTAACTTCACCGAAATTGCACGTTCGAGTGAAGTAGAAGCTTACACCCGACACACAACAAAAGTTCTAAATATATGTATATAGTATAGAAGAAAAGTGTTTCTTTTTCTCTTCACTCTCATCTTGCAAAACCACAAAATCCCCTTTTTATAGTATAAAACATGACCACCATAAAACCTCTATTTAATATAGAATTAAAGGAAAATATTGAGGTTTTATGAGACAAAATAAAGTCTTTGTAGGTTTCAAGATGTTGGTCCAAATGACCTCATAAATTGGTCAAAGAAAATATTTAATAAAATATTATTTTTATTAAAAAACCCAACATAAACCGCTATGAAATCGGAATTGAATATGCAGGCTTTGATTTCCGGCAAAGCCTCCGAGAAGTTGGATTTCGTCACTTGCTTCACCGACCATTGTTTGCTGTGGTGGTGGTGGTGGCGGCGGCGGGGCATCGTGGGTGTGGTTTGTGTAGAAAAGGAAGAAAGTAGATAGGAAGAGCGGCGAATCTAGGTTTTGGGTGTGAGATATAACAGAGAAATAGCGAAAAACTGAGTATAAAATATAAAATATAAAGAAACGTGATAAGAGAAAATGTTATAATTGTCAAGGTATATTAACTTTTATTAATTTTAAATGCTTTGGATTTAACTTAAAAAAAAAAATTGGACTCATTGTAATTGGAGGAGTCTAATGAGGGGGGTTTGTCAAATTATCCCCTAAAATAATCCCAACATTATAATATAAAAACTCTTAACATCAAGTATATCATTATTAATGAAAGCAATTTAAAATATTGTTGACATACCTAATGAGTCTAATTAATTTTAACTAATAGTAGTTACTAGATGTTCATTTTTTTTATAAAATAAATTATTTATTAAAATAAAATTTGTTTATTAGTATTTATTATTAATATTTCGGCACGGAAGGGTACTACCATTTTAAGAATATTGAGTACCGTTGTCTTGCCTAAATATTTCGGTATGGTATGATATGCTATTGCAATAATTTGGTAGAAATATTTCAATAGAGAATTGGTATGGTTCGGTAGGGTAGCGGGTAGGTAGGACAATTTGTTGTTAAAAAAACCGGCTTAATCCTACTTTGCATCATTGAAATATACAATTTTGGCACTTTGCACCCTCGAAACACAATATATCATGCATAATGTACCCCACATGAATTTTGAAAGCTAATTAAGGTAATTTAATATTTTTAGTGGTATTTAAATAATATAATTTTTATTACGAAAAAATATTTTACGAAAAAAAAATTCTTCAGCTATTTCGTTATCAAGTTATCTGAAAATCATATTTTCTTCTAAATATTTATACCTAATATTTCAACCAATTACGATAAAAGATCTATCAATCGAATAATTTAGTGATAAAAGTTTATTTTATTTTATTTTGTTAGAAAATATAATTTTTTCCAATTATCCGGTGTGATTTTTATTTTTTCGCACTTTGTGCAATCGAAATTACGTTGCAGGTTGAAGAAAATAAAAAAATAATTTGTTATTTTCCACCACGGAAAAAAAGATCTAATAACAAATGAATCTTATTCAATTATTAGGTGGTGTTTGCAAATACTTTTAGAAATAGATTACGAGTTTTTTATTTATCTAATCTGTTTTTAGGTGTTTGCAAAATAACCTTTTGCTTTTGCTTCTCTTAAAATAAGCTGTTTTAAGATATTATTTTAAAATTACCCATGTACCTATTTTTTCTATTTTAGTTGATTTTTCAGCTAATTTGCAAACACCCCAACTTTTAGAAATAATCACTTAATTCCAACTTAACTCACAATCACTAACTTGCGCTTTTAAATAAACTTTTGCAAACACCACCTAAGGGTGCATTGTGAATGATTTATTGTGTTTTGAGGGTACAAAGTGCTATTATAATTTTTTAAGGGTGATAAGTGGCAAAAAACTCCATTTCAAGGGTGCAAAGTGAGATTAAGCCAAAAAACCAGTCCTAGTTTTACCCAATTAATCGGGGTTTGGGCCGATGAAATTTGATTAACCCGGCCCATTTAGAACCCATAATTATCCTGAATCAATCTCGGGCAACCCTATATAAAAGCCGTAGACGCAACAATTCCCCACTCACACGCATTCTATCGTCTCATCATAGAAGATTGCTTTTTTCCTCTTTAGCGCGCTTCCAAACCCTAATCCCTTTTTCTCTCCCAATCGAATTAATTCGGATTTTTAGGGTTCCAATCAATCGTCGATCGACTCCTATCCGATCATAAACCTGATTTTAATCGGTGGAGAAACTGTTAAATTGATGAGCGTGAGCCGTTACTCCCTGCTCTCCTTGTTGATTTCGCGTTCTATTCTCAACAATTAATCGATCGATTCACGGCGTTTCGGCGAAGTACACGATATTCAAAGTTAGGGCTTTTTCCGGACATTCGTCGAGGATTTGCGGCAGAGAGAGTTTCCATCGAGTCGAGGAGGCGGTGCTGCGGCGGCGTCAGGAGGAGGAGAGGGATTTGTGGTCATCTTCTCCGATCTACCGGATCTGCATAATTTCGGGTCGATTGGTGGAATTTGATCGGAATACAGATATTCGATTGTCTTTGTGGAAGTCAGAAGAAGTTCTCTGAATTTGATTGTTCTGGAGTCCTTGGAGGATTAGAAGACAAATTAGTCGGTTTGATTAATTTTTGTTAATTTATTGCTAAAAGTAAAAAAAAAAGCAGAAAAAGAAAGAACTTGTTGAGTTTTCATTGTACTTGTGTTATAATTATTTTGGTTTTTTAGTTGAATGCCAGGGGTTTTATTTTGTACTACTTGACGGCCTCTATTTCTGGTTGTGGTTGTTTCTCTCTGTTGAGAGAAAGGAAAGATATAAAAAAAAATATTGAAAAAAAAATATGGCTGTTTATTATAAATTTAAAAGTGCAAAAGATTATGATTCAGTTGCAATCGACGGCCACTTTATACCGGTGGGACAGTTGAAAGAAAAAATATTTGAATTAAAGCATTTGGGCAAGGGTACTGATTTTGACCTCGTTGTCACCAACGCCCAGACTAATGAAGGTTGGTTTTGATTCTCTCAAAATTTTCTTCAAATTGAAATCCCTTTTGAACAAATAATTTTACTGGCTTTAGGTTATGGATTGCTGGTAATGGTAATATTATTTGATAGGTGGTCTTGGTAGTTTTGCTAATCTTTATTTTAATAAAGAAAGTTGATTTCTGCAAGTTAAAGACTTGCTTAGGGTATGTTAATCAAAGTCAATTCTTCATGAACCTGAAGGTTGGCTCTTGACTTTCGTTGCAGTTTCGGACTGAGAAAACGGACTAATATCAATTGTTAGAATAATTATTGTTTAGCCTTTTTTTCATATGCATTTATATGTGTCTTATAGAATGTCTGCACATTTGTGCAAATCTCATGTTATTCGTTTAGTTTTTGTTTGATGTGAATTTCTAATGATATATTGCACATTTTAGAAGGAATTGATAAACACTGTATTAAATAGGTATCTGTTAGTTAAATTGGGTTGTGAAATGTATAATGTATAGCTTTTCTTAAATGATGACCGTGCGGCAAACTTTGCCTGTGTGTTATGATGAGAGTGTCTTGGTGGTGTAATTTATACGAATTGTTTGAGCTTGAAATAATTTGTCCTAGGCTGAGAATTATCAGTTTGGTTAAGGTTTAAATTTTACGGTAAAGAAATGATTTACTTCCTGGTTTAAACTTAGGTGATACTGATGATAATTTTAGGTTTCATTTGTATAATGGTTTTGTGGGGTTTATACTCTTCTCATTGTTTTGTAATTTCAGAGTACCTTGATGAAGGAATGTTAATTCCCAAAAATACGTCAGTTTTAATACGCCGAGTTCCTGGACGTCCTCGCAAGCCAATAGTTACTGCACCCGTTATTGAACAAGAGTATTGTCTTGATCCTTTTAAACTTTGTTTATTTAGTTTATTTTTTAAAAAAGAAAAAAAAAACAAAGTCTTTAATTAGATTATCTGGAAATATATTGCTTTCAAATGTTGAACATGGTCAAGCTCGACTTTAAACATTTCCTCAACTATGTATGTTGTCTTTGTTGTGTCACCGCATACTTCTTGAATTCCCATTACTCTAGTGGTTTTGGGAACCGTTTGAGTTCGCTGCGTGATTTATTAATTAATCATGTTTAGTAGGAAGAACAATGATCTATTTATACAGACTCAAGATATACGAAAAATATTAGATATGTACTCTTCATTATTTGTAGAATTTCTTAGTGCTTAGTTGAGTGTTCCAATATGTAATTTGTAGGCCAAAAATGGAGAATAATTCTGATGATGTTCAAGCTGTAAAAGGTAGCTTTGCTGGAGCAGATTCATCTGCCATGAAATATGTAAGCTTTCGTTCGTTAGTCTTCTCGGAGAATGTTAAGAACTCTCCCATTAAGTAACTGATAAGCTGTTATATGACAGCATTTCCATGCCAATTAAATTAAGAGTATCATATATTCAATCGTTGGTCTTTGTAGGCTGAAGAGTTAGATTGGGATGAATTTGGAAATGATCTTTATGCAATTCCTGAAGCTGTACATGTCCAATCGAGCATTCCAGTTCAGGACGCCCCACCTGTTAGCAGAGAGGATGAGGAGAGCAAGATCAAAGCTCTAATCGACACTCCCGCTTTAGATTGGCAGCAGTAAGAAGTTTTCCTACCTTATTATTGCATTTCTTGATCAATTATTACCTCAGCTGTTGTAACATTATTTCTCTCCGCAGTCAACCTTCTGATGCTTTTGGCTCTGGTAGAGGTTTCGGACGGGGTATGGGTGGAAGAATGATGGCTGGACGTGGTTTTGGTAATCTTCTTTTCTAATTTTGTCTGAAGTTCGTGTTTTCAAGAGTTCCATTTGTTGTTAATTATCGTATTTTGTGCTTTTAGCAATTTCAGGTCATTGATTTTATTGAGGCCTTTACTTCTGTACCCTATGACTTTTTTTTTTAAAACTAAAGTGCTGGATTTTGCAGGTCGAGGTGGATTTGAGAAGAAAACTCTACCACCGGGCTACGTATGTCACAGGTGCAAGGTGCCTGGTATGTTTCTCATTAAATCAATCTCTACTGGCAGAATATAGCAACGTGTCATCTCAAATTTTATGATTTTGAAGAAACTACTAACTAGTGAATGTCGTAATTCTTTTGTGTAGGGCATTTAATTCAGCACTGCCCGACAAATGGTGATCCCAATTTTGACATCAGAAGAGTCAAACCTCCTACCGGGATTCCAAAATCGATGTTGATGGCTACTCCAGATGGCTCCTATGCATTACCAAGTGGAGCTGTTGCAGTTTTGAAGCCAAATGAGTAAGCTATCACGAACATCCAATTTATACTTATTTTCTTGAAATGGTTAGATGTTGTCTTCTTATTGGTGGAATTTTTATAGGGCTGCGTTTGAGAAAGAGATTGAAGGAATGCCGACCTCGCGTTTTGTTGGTGATCTTCCACCGGAACTGCACTGTCCACTTTGTAAAGAAGTGATGAAAGATGCTGTCCTTACCAGCAAGTGCTGTTTTACTAGCTTTTGTGATAAATGTAAGATTTCACTTTGGTTGATCATTTATTTATTTTCTGTTGTAATGTCATTTTTAGTCTCATTTGGAGTTCTGTTTTAGTATCTTCTGTGGGCATGGTCAGTGGGCTTTCTAGATGTTTTGTTTTGCATTGTTTTGCGTTGAACTTGTGTGAATCCTTGATCGTCTTGAAATGGTTGAATATTTATGATATCTAACTTCTCCATAGGCATACGAGATCACATCATGTCCAAATCTATGTGTATCTGTGGGGCCACAAACGTTCTTGCAGACGATCTTCTGCCCAACAAGACGTTGAGGGATACTATTAACCGAATTATGGAATCCAATAACAACAGTGGCGAAAATGGTGGGAGTGCATTTCAAGTCCAAGGTTTGTGCATTATTGAATCTGTGTTCCTCCTCTCTCTTTCTCTCTCTCTCACACACACACACACACACAGATACACACACACCTTTCTGGTTGAGGTATTGAGTGTATTTACAATGATTATTCTTTTTCTAACTTGTATTTGTTCCAGACATGGAGTCACGCAATCCACAGGCGAAGGTTCCATCTCCCACACAGTCTGCAGCCTCAAAAGGACAACAAGTCCATGCTCCACCGCCCCAAGTTGAGGAGACTTCAAAGATTGAGGAGACTGCTGAAGAAATTAAATCCGCCAATTTACCACTGAATCAGGGGACAGAGAGAACTACTAAAGTTCCTGATGTTTCAGAAGCTACACATGACTCGAGAAATGTCAAGGAAGCAGTGTCACAAGGAAGTGCTCCCTTGGCTGATGAAGAGGTGCACCAGAAACCAATTTCTGGAGAAGCAGGTATTAAGACACAAATGACTCCTCACATAGGTTTATTTAGTTCGATTGTCCCGAATAAGAGTGATTGAGGAAAACTGATTCGGCACGTTCTCTACTTTCTTCCTCCTTTTCCCGTCAATTCCATGCTGTATATTTATGTGATGCTTTTGATATCATATCTTATCATTAGTTTATTAGCATTAGCGGAACTCGTGTGGTATCATAGGAGTCTATAAATGAACTAAATTATATATTCATTTCTAAACTTGCATTAGCAAATAAAAGATTGCTATAGTATTCACCAGTTCTCCTTTAATTAGAAGCTGATCCCTGATGCGGCATTTATTCTGTTGGTTTACAGGAAAGAAGAAGAAGAAAAAGAAAATCCGCATGCCTCCTGGTGGTATGATCTTATTTGCTATTTTCTTTTGAGTGTATCCTAATGTCGTGTCTCTTGTTTGTTTTTTATGCTAATTTAGTTATTAGGAAAACTTGGGTCGCGGATGCAAACTTTTAATAGGCTTTGCTTGTTAACATATGAGCATCAAATCAAACCAATTAGCTCCTTAATTTATCCAAAAAAACAAAAACAATTAGATCCTCATCTCGTTTTTGTGCGGCTAGTATACATTATTAGGCTATGTTCTCTTTAATGCACTTGGTAGAATGATGATATTGATCAACCTATTTGATATTCATGGGCACCGAGGTTTAAATAATGAAGGACCCCTGGCTTGTTATTGTGGGCACAATATTAATTTGTAGCTTTTGCTTAAGCTCTCATTAGTATCCTGAATCGTGTTTTCAATTTTGTGAATGGTTGCAGCTGCAGAGATGCAATGGAGAGGTGGCCCAGAACTCGGACCTGAGAATTACATGATGCCAATGGCTCCTGCGCCTGGTTTTAATCCTTATTGGAATGGGTGCATCCAGCCTGGATTTGATGGGGGGTTTATGCCCCCTCCATACGGGGGTGGTCCTATGCACCCCCCCTTCATGGGTTATGGGATGAACCCAATGGACATGGCATTTGGACACGATCCATTTGGAGGGCCCGGTTGTATGATGCCCCCTCCTCCTTATGGCCCCCCACCTCAGAGGTATCATTATTCATTTCATTCATGCTGATATTTATTTATTTATATATATTTATTTGGTGATTGTTGGTTCTGAACGAGTATTGGGTGTTGATTGTTTAACTGAATTGGTGATACAGGGACCTTGCGGAGTTAGCTATGGGATTTAATGCGGGCCCACCCATTATGAGCAGAGAGGAATTTGAAGCTCGCAAAGCTGATTTGAAGAGGAAGCGCGAAATGGAGAGACAACGTGATGGGAGGTATGCAGATTGAATTGAATGAATGAATGAATACTCTCTCTCTACCCTCTAGATTTGTTTTTTTTTTTTTTTTTGTCTAAAAAGGTTTTTTGTTTTGATTTTGTACGCAGGGAACTGTCTAATAATAATGGTAGGGAATACGGAAGAGAAGGAAGCAGTTCAGTCCATGTTTCTTCGAGACCCAAACCTGTATGTATCTTTGTTATCGAACTTTGCTTGTTTATTTATGTACCCTGCTGCTGCATGCAGGTGGAGTTGATGCCCACACCAGAAACTATTATTCTGTCAAGACTTCACCGACTTTTAAAAAGCCCTTTTATTGATGAATTTTTATGCTATAATAATAAGACCATGGGATTCATCTTATTTCTTGCACAATGCAATTTTTGATTTTGCTTATTTTGAGATTGGTTTCAAACTGGTACACAAACAAAAGTTCCGATGTTCTTTTTTCAATTTAAAAGATCGAGCCAATATGATTTTAATTGCAATTTTGTACTTCTAGATAAGACAATGATAAAAAGAAGAAAAAAAGAAAGAAACATTAAAATCGGTTTTGTCTTGGGGATACAACCTGCACAATGTGATACGAAAGTGGTTGTAGCCCAATAATCCACATACAATTTTAAGTCGGGCCCATTAGCCATTTATTTTCTTTTCTTTCGATTGTATAAATTTATGTACTAAATTTGGGCTCTTATTGTGGTTGATGCAGAAATCTTCTCCTCCACCACCTTCCGGCGGCTACCGCCAGCGTCCGGAGAATCATTCACCGGATCATCGATCTCGAGACCCTGAACTTCCAAGGCCGTCCTCCAAGAAGAAATCTGAGTATGAACAAGAAGACCACCACCACCGACGTGAGCATCATGATGAAACCAACCGGCACCACCACCGCAGCAGCGGCAGCCACCAACGCCGCTCTAAGTCCCCATCGGAAGAAGCAGCTCTCTCTGCAGCTGAAAGGAAACACAAGGCCAGTGTCTTTTCTCGCATCAGTTTCCCAGGGAATGACTCATCAGCTCCCAAGAGAAGAAAGCTCTCGTCTGATTCTCAACCGCCCGCTGCCGCCAGTGGTGGCGGCTCATCAAGTCATAGGGCGACAGCCGCCCTCTCTAATGGTCACCACCATGACGACCACAAGGCAGTGTCAGCCTCGAGAAAGAGCAGTGCAGCCGCAGCCATAGCCGCTGCCGCCGTGGATAATGACAGCAGTGACGATGAAAGGCATTTCAAGAGGCGGCCTTCGAGGTACAACTCGTCGCCTCCGGCAGCTGCCGCTGCGGAGGAGGAGCACCGCCACTCAAGGGGGTCGAGGGATAGGGAGCGTGAAAGGGATCGTGGAGGTTATAGCAAGCACAGGTGAACTCTTTAGGGCGAGAGAAATTTGCAAAGCCAGTCTTAAGGCAGGCGGTGGATTTGACATGTCGGAGTGAGGCGGCAGGCGGTAGTTGTCAGGCTGTGTAATGGTTAAGGGAGCTGCTATGCTATTCAGTTGTATTTTAGCTCCACATTTGCCTCTTTTCTTTTTTCATGTAATAATGAAGGGTGATGATGATATGACAAATTATTTTATTGCTTAAATTAATGAAATCGGCATTTTGATTGTCAAGAATTTTGTGCTATTTATATCATTTTTCGCATTTACTAATTTACATTTATTTTTGTAATTTAGGGGGCTTAATTTTAAGTTTAGTTTTCCTTATAGAAGTGCACTTGAGTAGGGGTGGAAATCGGACCGAATATTTTTATTTTTATTTTTAGGGCAAATTACCAAAACCCCCCTGAGGTAAGGCTGAATAACGAAAATCCCCCCCATGTTTGCGTAATTACGAAAATCCCCCTGAGGTATGTTGTCATCTTACAAATTCCCCCTACGGTGTTACTTCTGACGGAATCTTTTTGATTCCATGGAATATTCCTCCGAAAATGACATTCTTGCCCTTGAGGGGTAATTGTAAGCATATTAATTACTTAGGGGGTAAATTGTAATGTATTTAAAAAATGTAGTTATTTTAATTTTAAAACTATAATGTATTTCTTCATTTTATAATTATTAAAAAGATAAAATGTATATAAAATAATTAAAGATAACATTAAAAGTTTTTATTTCTTTTTTAATTTTTTTATATATTTTTTTATTCAATAAAATCGAGGTTACGTATTTTTGAAATACTCTCGTATTTCTTATTTTATGCTACAAATATTTTTAATAGTTTTTTAATATTATGGTAATTGTCAATGTTTTATTATATTTTTTCGTCAAAAGTAACACCGTAGGGGGGCTTATAATACTTAAAAAACGTAGTTATTTTAATTTTAAAACTATAACGTATTTCTTCATTTTATAATTATTAAAAATATACAAAAAGAATATATAAAATAATTAAACATATCTTGTAACATAATTTTTTTTACTTGTTTTGTATTTTTTTTTATATATTTTATATTTTTTTATTCAATCAAAACGAGTTTACATATTTTTGAAATATTCTCGTATTTCTTATTTTACGGTAAAAATATTTTTAATAATTTTTAATATTTGTTTAATTATATTTCAATTTTAAACAAACGAAATGTAAAAAGTATATATTAAATACAAATAAATCATAATATTCCATTGAGGGGGATTTTCGTAATTACGCCTTACCTCAGGGGGGTTTTCGTAATTTGTCTTTTTTCTTTTATTTTTTACATATTTAACAGAAGGGTATAATAGACTTTTCACGTTTTCTGTTAAAAAAAATTGGTCAACCGTTAGTCAAGGGGGATTTTCGTAATTACGCAAACATGGGGGGGATTTTCGTTATTCAGCCTTACCTCAGGGGGGTTTTGGTAATTTGCCCTTATTTTTAAGTAAAAAATGGGTTCCGATTTCCGTTTCAAAAAAAATTGAATGAAATTTTTTTATTTTTAAGTAAAAAATGGGTTCCGATTTCCGTTCCAAAAAAAATTAAATGAAAAATTCATCTCGTTTTCGGAATATTTTGAAATCGGCAGAATTTCGGAAATTACATTAAAATAAATTGGGTAAATTACAAACACCCCCTGAGGTATGGTCAAATTACAAAAAAACCCCTCTTGTTTGGATAATTACATGTACCCCCCTCAACTATGATTTTTTCTTACACCTCCACCCCTATGGTGCCAAATTCAACATAATCATCTAGATTCCGTGGAATGTGCTCTAGTTTGTACTCGTTTTGTGTAAAAATACAGTTTCCGATGCACCACAAAATGATATATACAAGCTAAAAATCACATATTATGATCATCTTGCTTCATAATGTAGAGTTTGAATGGGATAAAACGGGTACAAAAGTGATAATATTTCATATAATCTCGAAGATTCCACTAAATTTGAGGAGTTGAGGGGGTGGTTGTAATTATCCAAACAAGAGGGGTGTTTTTGTAATTTGACCATACCTCAGGGGGGTGTTTGTAATCTACCCAAATAAATTAATTGTTCCAAATTTGGATATAATGAAAATTTTCACAATATTTTAAGAAATTTTGCAGAAAAGTGCAAGAAAATGTCGAAAAGATTGTTCGACAAAACACAAAAAATAAAAACACATGTAGGAACAATTTTCTTAAAAGGAAAAATGAAACATAAAGTTTTTGATACGGATTAAGCTTTTAATTTACTTGACCCTTTGATATTTATATTTTACATATAAAATAACATAAAGTTATATTATGGAATTACACAATATATCATAAAATTATACTATATATTTCAAAAAACCATAGAAATATTCAGAACTAAAATCGGATCGTAAATCGGAATTTCCGATAATTTTATATATTATTCTGACTCCATTTCAAATAAATTCGGAAAAAATCAGAAATTCGAATGAAAAGTACGGTTACAAATTCGGATATTTCGGGTTGGAATTGACGGAATTCAGATATTTCATTCCAATTTTCACCCTACACTTAACAAATAAATAATCTTGTAACAATAATAATACAAAATCAAAAATAAAGAAAAAGAGAAAAAAAAAATCACAAAAACACCCCAAAAACTCATTCTCTAATCATAATAAAGGGGTTTGGTATTATGACTGTTTTTTTTTTTTCACTCATAGTGCAAAATAATTTTTTTTTTGTTTTTTTTCTTTTTAAATCTTCTCCAAATCCTCTCTCAAACACTCAACCTTTAAATTTTGAAACTTTGCAAATCGTGTATTTTTTCCAAGGTTGTAAAAAGCGGTAATCGGGTCGGAGACGGTTAGACACCGCCTAATGATTAATCAGTGCTGCGATGATTAATCAGCGAATAATAGGAAAAAAAATCGATTTTTAAAATTTAAATAGAAATTATTTATAAATACTAAAAACATACATAATAAGATATTTAAACATGGTTATGTATCCATCATTTATATATCCTAATAATATAATAAAAGTTTAATAATTATAAAATAATATTATAATAAAAATCATTATAAAATACAAATAAAAGGAAAATCTTTTAAATTTAAATATATTCTTGAACATTGCAATCATATATCTTTAGGTTATTTAATAATAAAAAGTTAACATAAACAAAATAAAGCATATACTTATTTTTTTTTTAAAAGCCCATCATTTATTTCAAATTAAAAAAAGTAAAAAAAAAATCAATTTTTGATCGATTTTTGCCACCAAAATTAAACCCACCTCCAAGGTTTGACCGCCTCAACCCGCCTTAGACCGCTTCACAGGTCAAAAATCGATTTTTTAAATTTTTACACTAAAATCGTAGAAAGCAATTGCTTACGTTGAAAAATGATGGTGAGGAAGAAGAAGACGAGCAAAAATTACATGAGCAAGAAGAAGACGAACAAAAAACATTGTGTTTTTTGGTGGAGTTCTCCATGAGTTTTAATAGTCTAAAATTGGTAAAGGGGTTGAAATCATTGTGTTCTAACTTATATCATGATGCGTTAGTGGGTGGTTAGAGTGGAGAAGTAAAATCCAAAAAACAATAAAAAAAATTAGAAATACGGTAATAGAAAAATATTACCACTACTCAAAATAATAGGAATAAACTAGAAACACGGTAATTAGAGTAGAGTGGGATTATACCACTGCCCAAAATAATAGGAAAATATTTACCATTTATTTATTAGAGATGTGTTCTTAAATTAGAGATTTATTAATTCACAAAATTGCCCATAGGTCTAGTCTAGGTTTTAGTTTTTATATATTTTTCTTTTATATATAAGATTTATAAAGAATAAATTCGATTACAAATTTATAAAGTAATTTTTAAATAGTTATTGTAAGTTGCTATTGAAATTATCAAAACAGTTAGTATTTTCAATTCTTTAAAAAAGAAAAATCAACGACGAATTTTTTTTGACATAATCTTCCACCTGAATTTTTGAATGTGTATGTTCAAAATTAGTTTGAATTTTAAAATTATAAGTTTTGTCGAATGACTATTAACTATTTTGAACTCTTAAACGATGATGGTGTAGTGCCACAAGGCAAAATGTGCATATTTTCACTCTAAATTTTGTATTTTGTTTAAGTGAATTAGATGACTTGTATAACCATGAAATGAGCCATTCCAAAACCAAATATTCACTTTTCAACCATCAACCGACCCACAAAGACTGGGTCATCAATAATTTTCAAATTTGAGCGAAATTAGTTTATCGAATGAGACATTTTTTGGCTTGGTTATCGACCAATTCAACCCGCTCTCAACCCTAATTTTATTATAACTAAATAGTATTGATGAAGGTAGATATGAGTTTTTATTGCCAGCCCAAGGAGTGAGTTTATAATATTTTATAGGGATAACAAAAAATACCCATATGATAACTAATAAAAGATCACATTATGTTTTATTCTCTCATTTCTCTCATTTTTCTCTTTTTTCCGATGCCCAACCTCTACATGTCTTCTCTTTCTCTATTGTTTTTAGGCCATCCTAACACTTCCATTTTTTTTCTTTCTCTCTCTCTCTTTAGAAGATCATAGTATTGCAGTGGAAAATGACGGATCTGCAGTTGGCGGCGGCGGCTCTTGAAGTGCTTGCGCGGTGGCGGCGCTGACTCGACTCGCCTTGACAGTGAAAGTGACGATAATATCACCATGACAGTGGTGGTTCTGATAGAGATGGAGTAGTGATGGTGGTGGTTATGGTAGAGATGGAGTAGCGGTGATGGTTTTGGTAGAGATGGAGTTGTGTTGGTGATGGAGGGAGAATTTAGGGTTAATATTGTAGTAGTGAAAATACAAAAAAATGAAAAAGAAAACAATGTTCTGTTTTAAGAAATAAAAGGCCGTGGCTATTTGCAATAAGTGTAAGGTCAAATTAATTTTTTTTTAGCATAAATACTATAATACCCTTACTTATTAAAAAAATAGAAAATCCAAAATGATGCAATACCAAAAACTCAAAACTACAAAACCTCTATCACAAAATCACAATTTCAAAATCCACTACAACTTTTCTCCTTCCTCCTCCATAAACCCACAAAACCTAAATATACAAAACCATCATTACTTAACAAGCTTTACAAAGATGGCAAGTATGGAGTCATAAGACATTAAAATGAAAGATTCTCGGTAGAAGAACCTAATAAGCTATGCATTTATGTGTTTTTTTAGCTACGATGTCGTTTTTCGAGAAAAAACCCGCACACATGCAGTCGACTTGTACATATCGAATTTTATAGGTGAAAATCGACATATCTAAATGTCGAATTTGTAGCACAAAATTCGACATTTGGATATGTCTAATTTGGTGCTACAAATTCGACACTATAATGTAGATTTTCACCTACAAAAATTGACATATCATTGATGTCGATTTCTAGTTTTTTTTCGACACTTAAGATGTCGATTTGAAGCATAGTTTTTCGACATCTTCGTGTCGATTATAACCAGTTTCAAATTTAATTTTTTTTTCTCTTTTTTTTTAAGGTTGTTGTTGGGCGGGTTTAGGTCGCTCATGGTTGTACTGTGAGCGGCGGCGGTCGGGCTACGAGCTTGCGGCGACAGCGATGCTTCGGTGTTGGTGCTTGGGGGGGGGGGGGGGGGGGGGGGGGGTAGTTTTATTTTTTCTTTTTATTTTTTGTTTTAAAAATTATTTGTTATTTGGTGTTTTTTGTTTTGTTATACTTGTCATTTCATCTTAATAAAATAGAATCTTTTAGAATTTTTCTTTAATTTGGTCTCATACTTATTGAAATTAGTATTGCAACTAGCCGCGGTCGAAATAAAATTCATTTTTTTAATTCAGCAAAAAATCATGAATGTAGTAGCAAAATGTTAAATCTATGTAAAAAAATATTATATCAAATTAAGACCGAGATTGAGTTGGGTCGGTCGATTACCAGCCTAAGAATTGATTCATCCGACAAACCAATCTTGCTCAAATTTGAAAATCGTTGCCGATCCAACCTTTGTGGGTCGGTTAATGGTTGATAACCGAATATTTGGTTCCAAAATGATTCGGTTGATGGGTTATACACGTCACCTAGTTCATTTAAAAAATATCAAATTTTGCGCAATGTCATTGCGGGATGATCATTTATCAGTTCAAAATAATTAATAGCAATTTAACAAAAAATATAATTAAGAAATTCAAAGTAATTAAGAAAACACACCCTTTATTTTATAATTTCGAATAAAATTTTAATCATATAGCTGGTTGACCGATAATTTATTAGTCAACTAGCTTTTGATATTTTAGAAACCACCAACCGATCCATTATAGATGGACTGGTTGAAATTTTCGACCCGATCCAGTGAATTGGTTAAAAAATTAGTATCCATCTAAAAATATGATCAGTAATGAGTCGGTTAGTGGATAAAAAACAACCAAGTCCCAATACTAGATCAAATTCTAATTTATGAATAATAAATTATGAATAATAATTTATGAATGAATTTTATAAATGAAGTGAAATAAATATTTAGTCCAAGTTATTATTTAGTTTTACTAAAAGTTTTGTGAAAAGGGGTTAAAAATGAAAATTAAACAATATTTGGCAAAAAATACAACAAGTATAAAATGAGCGACACCCACCGAACCCAAAAACATTTCCAAAATCGAGCTCTCATTTCTTCGAAGATGGCGGCCGCTGCAGCATTCTCTACACTTTCCCCTTTCAAACTTTCATCCCCAATCGAAACCCCTAATTTCCCCTCTCTCTCCTCCTCCTTCAAACTCACCTCCTCCGCCGCCGCCGCCGCCGCCGCTAATTCTCCAACTCACCCCTTCGGACCTCTCAAATTCAATCGCATCGCTCGATTCGCGACCGCCGCACCTTCCGCCGCCTCCTCCTCAGCCACCTCCGCCACCACTTTCCACGGCCTCTGCTATGTCGTCGGAGACAACATCGACACCGACCAAATCATCCCCGCCGAGTACCTAACCCTCGTCCCCTCGAACCCCGACGAGTACGAAAAGCTCGGCTCCTACGCCCTAATCGGACTCCCCTCCTCCTACACCAATCGATTCGTCGAATCCGGCGCGACCAAAACGAAGTACTCCATCCTCATCGGCGGCGACAACTTCGGCTGCGGCTCCTCCCGTGAGCACGCGCCGGTGGCCCTGGGCGCCGCCGGCGTGGCGGCTGTGGTGGCGGAGTCGTACGCGCGGATTTTCTTCAGGAATTCGGTGGCCACCGGAGAGGTCTATCCACTGGAGTCGGAGGGGAGGTTGTGCGACGAGTGCAGTACTGGGGATGTCGTAACTATTGAGCTCGGTGAGAGTGATTGTAAGCTGATTAATCACACTACGGGCAAAGAGTATGGCTTGAAGCCGATCGGAGACGCGGGTCCTGTCATCGAGGCTGGAGGCATTTTCGCTTATGCACGAAAGGCTGGAATGATTCCTTCTCGAGATGCCTAGATATTGGTTGCTCTTTTGCAGTGTAAGTATTACTTTTTTTTCGTGTTCGACAAACTTACAACTTGGTAACCAATGTGTGTTAGAAATGTGTTTGATATGATTCTGCCGAACTGATTAGAAAAAAGATAAAAGACTTTTCTGTTATGGTGTGCCTTTGCTGTGTGCATAGGCGAGTTTTAAGTGTTTGTAAAAATATGCCCCTATTTGTATCGTATACACATTAATTCATTCTAACGAGCACGTCTGGACAATAATTTTTTGATTAGCAATTAAGAATTTTGGAGAAAATATGGCTTAAATATTGACGAACTTTTAAGGTAAATTTAAAGTTTACGGGGTTCGGGGCAGATCCCCAAAGTTCCTTTGAAAATAGTCATAGTAAGAGGATAAAGTGTAGTATTTTCTAACTTGCCGAAACTCTTTGAAGTTAGAGATAAACAATGTTGATTATTAAAAAATGCAAAGATTGCTGGAAAAAAGTTTAAAATCTTGAAATAGATAAAAATTTGATAGAATAACTCAATATCTAACTAATTATAATTGATAATAATAATATGTGTAAATTTTTTCAACAAATACATAAATTATGTAAAATAATATAATTATGGTTATTCGAATTGTTGAACTATTTATATATTATAAATATCATTTTATACTATAACTAGTATATACGGAAGATACGAAACATTGTCTGGGGGGCCCTTATTTTTCCTAAAAATCGGGGGGCCCAAGGCGACCGTCGCTCTCGCCTATAGTCAGAACCGGCCTTGCGATTGGCAACGAACATATGCTGTTGAAATTAGACTATACTGAAATCGTACCTGAAATTATTAGTTAATATGCTTTGTTACCACGTTCTTTCAAGTGTATCAGTATTAGGGATGCCAACTAAAAATTGGACCATTACTTGGTTTTATTTTTCTTGTGCTTCTGGACGCCGTTACCTTTTGTTAATAATATTAAGGAATCTATATATAGTCTATTATATGCGTTGGCTTGGTTACTAGTTTATAATAAAAGGATTAATGGGCTTTAGAAATCGAAAGGATTTAAAAGGTAAAAAAGGTCACTAAAAAACAACAATTATGCTGTTATGGCAAGTATTTTGGTTTTTATGTATTGATGCTGTAACTTTATGGTGATTTCGCTCTATGTAGAAATTCTATATGCTTTGCGTCTGTGATTTGTGCTTATTGTTCCACTGTGATTGAATATTATTGCTCCACTGTGATTGAATATTATAGCTAGCTACGTGATGATTTCATGGTTAGTGTTCATCAATTTGTCGTAAACTCTTTTTTGCTTTCGGAAAAGATTTTAAAGTTATTCGTGTTGTAAAAAGTATAACTTGGTGACCACAAATGTGTGTTAGAATGGTTTAGACGATTCTGCTAAGCTAAGTAGAGAAATAAAATACACTTCTGTAACCCCTTTCCTTCGTTTTAAAATATGATTTGTATTGGCTCCGTCTCGTCCCTAAGTGAGTCAAATATCAGACCTCTAACATGCAATTAACATTACGTGATTAGGGATTTGTCAACATTATATAATAGGGTAAATTACAACCACCCATGAGGTATGGTCAAATTACGAAAAAACCCCTCATGTTTGGGTAATTACAACCACCCCAACTATTAATTTTCTTACACGTCCACCCTTGCGTCGTCAAATTTAGTGGAATCTTCTAGATGATATGGAATATTCTCAATTTTGTACCCGTTTTATCACATTAGAGCTCCACATTTTGAAGCAAGATGATCGAAATGTTTTTTTGGCTTGTATATATCATATTGTGGTGCGTCAGAAACTTTACTTTTGCACAAAACGAGTACAAACTAAGGAACATTCCATGAAATCTAGAAGATTGTGTTAAATTTGACACCATAAGGGTGGATGTGTAAGAAGATTCGTTGTTGAGGGGTAGTGTAATTATCCAAACATGAGGGGTTTTTTCGTAATTTGAGGTTTGACCAAACCTCAGGGAGTGGTTGTAATTTACCCTATATAATACGGCACACCGGACTATAGAGGGAAAATCATAACTTTTAGTTTCTTTGGTAAATATTTATGTTTTCAAAATATTGTTCTTGCTGGAAACTTGAGCCGTTAACTTTCACCTTGCAGCACCTTATTACGTAAATGAATTCTTATATTATAAGATGCTGCTGTTGTGTGTGTCGTGTTTCTTGATCTTACTAATAACCTATTTCTATGTGTTTTCTCCTTGCAGGTCTCTTCGGTTATCCATCATTCACATTCCGGTCTTGTAATGCTATTAAGGATCTTTATTTATTTGTTTACGTTCAAAACGTTGAAACAATAAAAACTCGTTGAAAACAGAATACGCAAACGGCTTTGTTCGTTTGTAGTTTGTACTATCATTTTCTAAATCTATTTTTCTTTGTTTAATTGTTTGAACAACCTTTTTGGTATTAGTTTAAGGACAAAATGCACTTCGCCCCCTAGAAAATTCTAGTTTTCGTACTTTGCCCCCTACAAATTAAAAAATAAGACTTCCCCCCTTCGAAATTTCGTTATAATTGCACTTTGCCCCAAATGTGACTTTCCGGCGGATTTTTCACCGGTTTTCTCATGTCTCCGTCAATTTAAAGGGCATTTTCGTCTTTTCAAGATTTCCACCCAAATATTATTTATCGCTTAAAAAATCCCAACCCATTAGACAACACATTACCTTATTTCAGAAAAAAAGAGGGTATTTTCTACCAAACACATTGCGCGATAATGGTCACCAAATCGTAAGAATCTTCAGTTTTTTCTTCGATTACCAGCTATTACGGTGATTCTTTGTTGAGGTGCAAACAATGTCCCACATCGGTTTAATATGGAAAAGATCTATGGTTTATATAGAGGGGATAGTAACTCCATTGGTGTGAGGCCTTTTGGGGAAACCCAAGAGCAAAACCAGTTGGGCCCGGCCCAATCTGGACAATATCATACCAATGTGGAGTTTATGCTATCCCCGCGGGGGCCCAACAGTGGTATCAGAGCCATGGCCCAGACCTAACCATGTGGTGGAAATTCCCGAATCCTCGGTGATGAACAAAAATGGTGAGCTCCCGGTGCGCAAATGGAGGCGGCTCAACGAGCTCCAGGTGGGAGGCTCGGGGATCCCTTTGTGTGGTCCGACCTATGTGGTCCTTTGTTCGAGGCTTGGTGCGCGGAACAAAGATGGTGTTGAGCCTAGGGCGCAACTTAAGGGGAGGCTCGGTGGTCCTTTGTGGTCCGACCTATGTGGTACTTTGTTCGAGGGGAGGATTGTTGAGGTGCAAACAATGTCCCACATCGGTTTAATATGGAAAAGATCTATGGTTTATATAGAGGGGATAGTAACTCCATTGGTGTGAGGCCTTTTGGGGAAACCCAAGAGCAAAACCAGTTGGGCCCGGCCCAATCTGGACAATATCATACCAATGTGGAGTTTATGCTATCCCCGCGGGGGCCCAACATTCTTTCCCATAGATTTAAAAAGTATGAGTTGGAAACGGAGAGAAAGAACACAAAGAGAACAGAGGTAATGCACAAAAACATTGATTTTCCATGATTTTCCTCGTCTAACAAAATGAAAAGAAGGTCGAAATTCAAACACCCATAAATCGTAGCTCCAACAATTGAATTTTACACACAAAAAATGAAACGCCCAAAACATCTTATCTTTGTTAAAAAGCTTTTGCCTTTGAAGAGAAAAATGAAGCCCTAATTTTGGAGCTCAATTGTGTAATTGTGGGTATAAAGAATCAACATATTGGGGATTTGGTGCAAAATTATTTATATACCCTGAAAAGACGAAAATGCCCTTTAAATTGACGGAGACATGAGAAAACCGGTGAAAAATCCGCCGGAAAGTAACATTTGGGGCAAAGTGCAACTATAATGAAATTTCAAAGGGGGGAAGTCTCATTTTTTAATTTCTAGGGGGCAAAGTGCGAAAACTAGAAATTTCTAGGGGGCGAAGTGCATTTTGTCCTTAGTTTAAATCATAATTCGTCAGTTCTGGTTGCTTTTTAAATCATCTCTTCGGAACAAATTGAGTTCGTTTCGAAGGCTTGCCGGTTTGTTCTTTTACACTGCCCAAGGAAATTATCAAAATTAAGTATAAATGTGATGATTTTTGTCTATACGTTTTCTACTAGGGCCTAGGGGTTGTTTGAGTTTGTAAAAAATATAATATGAAAACAGATATTTAAATATTTTACACAATTAAAAATGGTATAATAATATACGATCATGATTCGTTATACAAATTATTAAGGGGTAAATTACACTCACACCCCTGAGGTATGCTTAAATAACTTTAAGGTCCCTATGGTATCGATAATTACACTTACCCCCTTGAAACGTAGTTTTAAACTCTAATGGGATAATGCATTGGATACGTTATTGCGATAGAGTTTTAACGAACTATTGGTTTCAGGAAGTGGTGGAGACAACAAAGAGTTATGGGTGATTTAAGAAATATTGGGGAGTCATGTCACCCCATAACTCTATGTTATCTCCACCACTAGCTAAAAGTAATAGTCCATTGGAACGCTATCGGAATAATGTATCCAATGCATTATCCCGTTAGAGTTTTTAACTACGTTTCAGGGGGTGAGTATAATTATTGATACTATAGGGAACTTAAAATTATTTAAGCATACGTCAGGGGTGTGGTATAATTTACCCATTATTAAATCATAAAACGCAAGGACCAGAACTCTTTGAAATTACTAAATTACATTTTGACCTCGTCTATTTTACCAATTGTCTTACAGTTACTATCAATTTAACAAATTATTGAGTATTAATTTATTTGAAGTAGCTTTATTATTTTCTTATAACTAAAAAAACTAGTAATCTTTATTTATACAAGGCAAATGGAACCAAATAAGGTCAACGCCTCTATGTCAAGTTTTATTGACTAATGATAGGTATTAGTCAAACGTTCGGTTGACAAAAGTCGTATTGTTTGACGAATCACGTACAACAAATATTAGAGCATGTGACAAAATTACTATTTATTCGTAATATTACCTTCTCTATACAATTTCTTAAGATGTTTAAGATTTTATAAGCTTATTTGTTAAATTGTAATTAACCATGTTAATTGTAAGATATTGGCTGCCCGATCATATAATAAAATCGTTGGCAATGTTTGAATATGTTTTGGGAGTTATTTCATTTTACTTTGGGGAATCATGTTTTGAGATAATAATTGAAGAATGAAAACAATGTTTTTATATTATTTGAAATGTGACAAAATATACTGTAGTGATCAAATCATATTTAAAAATGTTAGAAAAATGTATTGTAGAATAAAATTTTGAAAAATAAAGTGGTTTTTGTTTATTTCTTAAGTGAATATTTTTTTTACAGTAGCAGTCACATCATGTCGACATGAAAGAGAGAGAAACTTTAAAAGTTGTCTTGAGAATTTTTTTGAAAACCTTAATAAATACAATTTTGTTTAGGAAAAGAATTAAAGTGAAATGAAAATATAATGAACTATTCAATTGTGTCTTAATTTTATATTGCACTAGCATTTTTCCCCGTGCGATGCACGGGATATTATTTCAAAAGTAAAAAATGTCAATTTAATTATCTATTAAGATTTGAGATGTATTGATGAAAAAAATATGGAATTAATAATTGTTAAAAATTATAATTAGAAAATTAGTAGAGAAAAATATTAAAAATAAATAATTATTCATTAGGGTTTTTCTAGGGTTGTTCAGCGTTGCTTTCTTTTATATATAAGATTATTTGGTAGGTTCTCAAAATTGTAGGGTTTGTTATCTCAAAACAAAAAGAAAAAAAAAATTGTAGGGTTTACGAAAAAAATATTGAATGTGATGTGCATTAATTGTGGTAATGTGGAGTGCATTTAGGAATGTTTTTTTTTTTTTTTTTTTTTTGAGTAAATTCAAGTCCATTACAAAGGGAAGTAGGGGAGGGGGGGACTCGAACCCTAGACCGTTACCCTATTGGTAAGGGCTAGGTACCAACTCTCCTAATGAGGGTTGGTCATTTAGGAATGTTTAAAATGTATTAATTTTTCTGTAAAAAAAAAATATGTAGAAGGGTAAATTTGATTTTTACTTAAGGATGATTTTGGAAATACAATTTAGCGAAGTGTTGTGTGATATAGCCAACACTATGTAAAACCAGTGTTCTAAATATCGGTCGTGGCGGTCGATATATCGGTCGCCATATCGGTATCGGTTATAAACCTTTACGATTTTGTTGAGGCGGTTTGGAATATCGGTTTTTTACGGCAAGGCGGTTTGTGGCGGTTTTTTGGCGGGTCAAACCGATATATCGGTCAACAAATCGTTTTTTTTTTTTTTTTTTTTTTTTTTTTAAATTTAAATTAAAATGAAAATATGTTTTGATTTTTTGTTTTTTCCAATTCTTTCAACTTCCAAAACCAAACCAAGTACTACCCCGCAATTTATGCTTTGTTGTGTTTATATTAATTGTTGATGCGAAAGACTTGCGTGGTATTTGTATTTCGTAAGAATCTTTTATTATATTATGATCTTATTGTTTTTAAATTTTTGTTATTTATTGAGTAATTAGAATTATATAATAACATATGAATGATAGGATAGAATTATGTTTAAATATTTTTTTATATATATTTTGAGTATTTACAAATAATATTTAGAAATATATTACACTAAATTTAAAAACCGATATATTTCCGATTTATCTCCGATAAATCACCGCCGCGCCGATTTATCGTGTGGCGGTCCCTAACCGCCACGTACCCGATAACCGCCTTTTAGAACCTTGTGTAAAACAATGTAATGTTTACTTAAATAAGTAAATTGTAGAAACTATCCACGTGTAATCTTCATTTGATAAAAAAGTCTCTGTGTTAAAAAAATTAGCAAAAACCCTATGTGATTAAAAGTCAAAGGCGGAAAAGTTCTTTAGAGCTGATCGTGATTGTCACTCGCCGGTTGTGCGATTCCTTTTGTGAATTTTTAGGGTAAAATGACATAAACACCCTTTCTACATAAACATACAATCAATTTGATATAATTATAAATAATTCAAATTCATAGGACCAAATAGCAATTTTCATAATTTCTTAATACCCTAATCATCTTCTTTCTCCCTCACCTTCTCACCCCCGGCCCTTTGAAAAACAATTCCAGAAGGTTGGTGCCGGATTGAAGTTTCAGAAGTTTAATATTATTTTGGAAACAAGTTTAGCAAAATTGTAACTTTGACCTCTATTATATATGATTCTAATTTTATGTTTTTTCAGTTAAGGGCATATTTGCGCTTTCATTAAGTACTAAGATTACAATTGGTGCACTGAGCTACTTATAAATTTACACATATAGGGGAGTTTTTGCTAAATTTTATAAGGGTAAATTACACCTACATCCTAGATATGCTAAAATAACTTTAAAATCTTTATGGTATCAGTACAATCACCCCCTGAAACAACGTTAAAAACTGTAACGATATAATGCATTAAAAACGTGATTCAGATAGATTTCTAACGTGCTATTAGTTTTAGGAAATGGTGAACACAACATCGAACTATGGAGTGACATGACTTCCCCAACATTTCTTAAATCACCCATAGCCAGGGGCGGAACCACCTTGTGACTTGGGGGGGGCTTCCGCCCCTGCAGGAACTTTTTTTTTGTTTTACCATTTTCTTAATGCTTTTTTATTTTATATTATCAATTTTCTACTAATTTTATGCAATAGTCCACCAAAAACAATTTTTTAGTCCCCCTTACTAGTAGGCTCTAGGTCCGGCCCCTGCCTCTAGGTCAATGTTGTCTCCACCACTTACTGAAACTAATAGTCCGTTAGAACTCTATCGTAATAACGTATCCAATGCATGATCCCGTTAGAGTTTCTAACAATAATTTGGGGGTTATTGCAATTATCAATACCACATGAACCTTAAAGGTATTTCAGCATACCTCAGGGGTGTAGGTGTAATTTACCTCCTTTTATAATAAACGGGCCCTTTTTAGCAATTATAGACAACACAAAGATAGTTCTGCAATTTAGTCTCTACTTAAATAGTTAAAACCCCTCATTTACGTTTCTCCCTCTCTCCATTTCCCTCGACAGAACAGAACCCTCCCTCAACTCCTACGGCCAACGCCGCCCTCGCCTCCGCCACCCCCGCCTCCGCCACCCCGTCCCCACTGCAAACGGCCACCCCTAATCGCGCCTCCTTTTTAATTTCAGGTACCTTTTTCTTTTTTCCTCAAAATATGTCGCCATTTTTTTTTCTTAATTTTTGTATCTGTGTGTATTCTGCGCACGCACTCACGCACGCAAAAATGGCAGTTTTGTCAATTTTTACTTGGACATCGTATCATATCATTTTATTGAAAAATAAAGTTGAACCGGAAGATAAATGTTATTAATAGTTTGGGTTTGGTGAATGAATGAAATTAATGTAGACAAAATCTTTCTGTGAAGTGTGTACTTTGGAATTTGAGGCTGAAATCAACTGAATATATTTTAAGATGATTTTAGGAGTGTAATCAGTGATTTTTTGGAGAAACTTGGGAAGAAATGTTCCTTTGTCTGATGATTAATATTATGATTACGAGAGTGGAAATAAGAATAAAATCTTTAAGGAAGCTGGCGTAGCGTTTCATACCACGCAATTACCAAGATTCGTTGTTTAGAGGACCAAGGAATATGAGGCACAGTTGTCTTGTAAAAGTTAGCTCCTCGGTTTTCTTCTTTTTATTTATTATTTGTTATTTTTTATGATAAAGTTAAATGTTGGTTTGAACTTTCAGACCTCGATGAAACATTATATTATCCAATGTTGGAGTCGTAGTGTTTCTTAGGACAGTGTAATTGCATCAATAGATGAAAGTATTGTGGTGACTGCAATATCTCACTGTATCTCTTTTGTTCTAGTGGTTTCATATCTCCTTTAGTTTCATATCTCATAAATATAATGTATTAATGTTTTTTTTGCATTTATAGCTTGAGGCTTGAAAGTTTGTTCTGCATTATACTGCCGAGCAATGGACATCGACTCAAAAACACCAGAAAGTGCTACATCAGTGACTGAAGGGGTTACTGAAGTAAATACTTGTCTTATGTCTTCTACTTCTTTTGGATTATTCTCTTACATTATTTTCTTAGAATCAACGACTAGTGAGTGATAAAATCGTTTGTTTGTTTTTAAGAACAAAGATGCTGACTCTATATCCAAAACAATGGAGCAACTAGATATTGGAGAACCATCCTCTTGCTTCAAGAGGAAGCCGGTTATCGTAATAGTTGTGGGGATGGCAGGTACTGTTTTGTTTTGTGCTGCAGTAAAACACAGTGCATTTGTGCAGTTTATATACTGAATGAAAAATTCAAAATCGATTGTGAACAGGAAGTGGAAAGACTACATTTCTTCACCGGCTAGTTTCTCACACTATGAGTTCAAAAATACGGGGTTATGTTATGAATCTTGACCCTGCTGTCATGACTCTTCCGTACGGTGCAAACATTGACATCAGAGACACTGTTCGGTACAAGGAGGTCATGAAGGAGTACAATCTTGGACCAAATGGAGGAATTTTGACTTCACTTAACTTGTTCGCTACAAAGTTTGACGAGGTAAAACACTTCATTGGGGCTATTTAATTTTGACAGTATAAAGTTTGCTCTATATCTGATTTGAAAATGCTGATGTTGTTAGATATTATTGCATAGGCTGATAAGCTAGATATATGCGCTTTACCTTGTCATTTAAAAGCATCATTGATCGAGCAGATAGTATCTTTCTTCTGCGCTGCTTCTCTATATTGTTAGTAGAAATCATTTGGTTATATCTACTAAAGATTAAAGAAACACGAACCTTATCGGGTAGGCTTTCATTTTGTGTAAATCTGAGCAATACAATTGAAATCTGTTTTACTCAATACTATCTACCGTGTTGGGGCGTATCTTTTTAATTTATGCTGTATTTATGCCCTTCTTGACAAAATTTATAAATATAAGTAATTTTTGCTGAAAAGAAAGTAACTATTAGCTAAGTGAATCACTTATTAAGAATCTTGGAATTCCAGCAAAATTTCAACCAGGGCTCATATGAGACCATAGTGAAGGAACTCATCCATGCTAACATTTGTGTTACCTTATTGACTCCTTAGTTGGTGTTCGGAGGTTAAAGTTTCCCTATCTTGTGATTTTTTTTACAAGTCATAATTCACTTAGTTTCAAATGTGAAAAAACGAGCATTAGATTTGCCGAGCCTGATTAAGAGTCCTGGAGTTGGAGCAAAGCTTGAACCAGCTCAGCTGTTAACTAATCACGACTTATGTAGTTTCCTTATCATTACTAGAAATATTCATTTACTTCTTAACAGTATCACGTTGTTAAAAAGGAAAAAGATGGGCTGTTGCATTAATGGATATTAAATTTATTAGGTGATAGGTTTGGTCGAGAGACGAGCAGATGAGCTTGACTATGTTCTGGTAGACACACCTGGCCAAATCGAGATATTCACTTGGTCTGCATCTGGAGCTATTATTACTGAAGCTTTTGCGTCAACATTTCCCACAGTAATTGCTTATGTCGTCGATACACCGCGTTCGTCAAGCCCTGCTACCTTCATGAGCAATATGTTGTATGCTTGTAGCATCCTCTACAAGACACGTTTGCCTCTGGTATTGGTCTTCAACAAGACAGATGTGGCGCAACATGATTTCGCGTTAGAGGTATGATTAATTTTTCTTTTCCTGTTTTTCTTGGTATTTGTGTTTGTTGTGGAACCTGTTATTTGCATTTCTTTTTTCTTTTTTCTTTTTTGTACTTCTCCCACGGCCTCCTTTTGGCCCTATGTTTCCATTTCCGTGAGATTCTTAAAATTACTTGCCAGACTCCTCCACTTTACAGCTTACATTATTCTGTTCGTCTTTTCTTTTTTCGATTCTGTAAACATGGTAACCGTGATATTCTATTTCTTGCAGTGGATGAAAGATTTTGAGGTATTTCATGCAGCACTAGATTCCGATCATTCTTACACGTCAACACTGACCCGTAGCCTATCCCTGGCACTGGAGGAATTCTACGAAAATCTAAAAACAGTGGGAGTATCTGCAGTTACTGGTGCTGGAATGGATGCCTTCTTTAAAACAGTCGAAGCCAGTGCAGAGGAATATATGGAAACTTACAAGTGCTTAACTTCTTTCAACCAAAATTTATGCAGATATTATCATATGAAGTAATAATTTTGCAGTAAAATGAACTTTCGTTAATCACCCCTTCCTCTCTCTCTCTCTCTCTAAAACAGGACTGATCTTGACAAGAGACGGGCTGAGAAGCACAGGTTGGAGGAAGAAAGGAGAAAGGAGAACATGGATAAGCTGTTGAAAGATATGGAGAAGTCGCGTGGGGAAACTGTGGTATTGAGCACTGGTTTGAAGGATAAAAAAGATGATAAGAGCAAAATGGAATGTGACGAAAATGAAGAGGATGAAGAAGAAGAAGATGACTATGAAATCTTCAGTGAAAATGGTGACGATGATGATGTCATTGATGAAGATGAAGATGAGGAGATAGCAAGTTTTAGATTTTGATATCTGTTATCTGAATTAACGGAACCTTTTATTTTGGGAGATATGAAAATACAAAACAGTAGAGTGGTTTTTGATTGGTTTTATGTACATGTAAGCTGACTTGGTTTATCCCTCTTTCTGAATATTGATTTTGGCTCTTTTTCAGTGAATGGCTGCGTGGCGTGTAAGCCTTCTTTTTTTAATTCTTTGCTCGTCTAATTTGATTGCGAAAATCTGATGTCTACGATTTTAATGTTTGGCAACCTTGCCATGCTGAGTTTTAGATGGATAATGTTAGATCAGGTGAGTTAGTATCCACCCAGAAAACATCATTATTTCCAGATTTGCTTCTCAGTAGCATGCATCAACTATGTAATATGTAAATTTGCATGGCCTCACGAATAAATAAACAAAAACCAAGGTTGTAAAAAACGGAAATTGGGTCGGAGGCGGTTAGACACCACCTCACGATTAATAAACAAACCTGGTTAAAAATTTAATATAATATATTTCTAGATATTTAAACATGATTATATCTCCATCATTTATATATACTAAGAAATCATTTATATATACTAAGAAGATAATAGAAATTTAATAAAAATGAGATAATAATGCAATAAAAACCCTTATAAAATACAACTCAAACTCAAATCTTTTGAATTTAAATTTAAATTTATTCTTGAACATTTCTAGCATATATAATTAGGTTCTTTAACCTAACAATTAACATAAACAAAATAAAGCATAAACTCAACTTTTATTAAAAGCCCAACTTTTATTTTGAATTAAAAAGTAAAAAATAAAAAATAAAAAATAAAAACCAATTTTGGGACCGCCTCCACCTCGGGGACCGATTAATCGGCCACTCGGCCGATTTTTAGAACACTGACGAAAACGCAAGTCTCGTAGAGATTCTGCAATGCTTGCCGAATAGAATCTTCATCTTGGTTGGAATATTTTCGGCATATCAGTCGCTGCTGAGAAAACATTAAACTCTAACGTTAAAGTTGCCAATATGAAAAATTAAGACTTGGAAAATTTATATTTGTACAGCACAGAATTTGAGTCCATCACATTTTCTTGGTGAGCTATAGATACTCGAAACCCGAATACATGTGTACCACTACTCCGACTTTCAGTTACTTCGTTAAACTTCTCCAAATTAAAACGCACCATTCGATAAATCTCTTCTTATACTAACATTTTAGGACACTAAGATGTAGATGCAAAATGACTAGCAGATAAATAAAGCAGCACTCGAATAACTGCAATAAGATTAGCTAGTGAAACCACTGTAGCATCAGTTTTGAGGAAGATTGGTTACCTCTACAGATCGGTACTTGAAGAACGAATTTTAGCTTCAATATCGTAAGTGGATCGCCACTTGCGCATTTTCTTTTCAAACGATAGGCTGCAATCATCCACCTCTACTCGATTTACAAACTCCAATTGATTCTGAATCTTTTTCAATTTGTAGCAATGCCTAAAAATGACGTGGTCCAGATACGGGAAGAGTTCACCGTCGAATTCCCAACGCTCTATATCCAAGTCTTCCAGCAGCAGATACTGAAGACTCGGGAACTGTACTTCATTGGTTTTCCACACAGGGCCCCAGAAGGCATACCATCTCAGTGTGAGCACTGTAAGATTCGGTAATGACGCAATCACTCCCATATTCTCCCACGGTAATCCACATCCACTCAGACATAGTTTTCTAATGTCCTGAGGAAAATTTGGAATGCAACGAACAATCTGAGACTTGAGATTGGGATTTACAACGACACATTTGAACGACTCAAATGCCTCATAGAGAGAGGCAAAATGATTGAAAAAACTGAAGTTTTCATTTGAGTCGTGTGCGGACTCAATTTGAACGGCTATTCTCTTTAGGTTGGGGATTCTTGAAAGCACTTCCATGGTACAACTATGAACACTCACACCTGAAACTGTTAGAAGCATCTCAAGGATAAGATGAGAATCATCCGGAGGAGGAGCTGGCATGTCAAAGCCCATGCAACTAAGTTGCTTCAATTTTTTCATTTTCCATATCTCTATAGGCAGATAAATCGGACAATTATTCGACAATTTGATGTTATGATGCCGACAAACAATCAAGATTTCAAGGTTCCAGAGTCTGGATATGGAGTTGGGGAGCTTTCCATCACACGTGATGGCAAGGTAACTTAAGTGAACTAAAACAAGTATTTGAAGTGGGAACTCGTAGAAGCGGATTGCAAGTGCATCTATTATCTTGAGCAATCTAAAATTAAAGGGAAACACTATTGGATATTTTTGTTTTGGACCGAAACAAAGAAGAGATCGTGCATTTGGAACTGATTCCATCCACTCGTGCACTTGTGGGAAAGCAAGAACAATGTTATTGTGGACGCACAGACGCTTGTGGCCTTTGATGTTCTCTGGAGTACAATCGGTGAACTTTTTGAGGATATGGAAACAAAATTCACTCTTAGATTCGGTAACACATAGACTCCGAAAGGTGAAATGCAGTCTACAGTTCTTAGATATCTCATCATCTAATGAGGTCTGCTTTTCTCTCAAAACAACACTTTGGCAAATAAGTAGATCCAAGTACTTTCCGGCAGTTCCTTCAGCGTCTAAAATACCCAGAATTTGTTCTGGATCGAGCAATCCCTCACAAACCCATAATTTGATGAGCTTGGATTGAAAAATCTCATAATATTTTGGGAACACACCCATATAGAGAAAGCATAGCTTTAGATACTGAGGCAACATCATATAACTAAAATAAAGTGCCTTTGAGAGGGGTGTATCATCATCTCTTGTGATGACGAGTGGATCTTCGTTTTCTGATAATGCCTTCCTTTCTTGGAAAGATTTTCCACGAAGGTTCTCTCCAACCTGTATAATTGGAGCAGGGAGTCCGTCACAGTTTCTTGCGATTTTCTTCCCGATTAACTCCAGTTCTCGACTGCACTTTTCTTCACTATTACCAAATGCCGTCTGATGAAGTAGCTTCCAACTTTTGCTCTCATTGAGCAATGGTAATAGGAAAACGTTGGGTCGCTTCAAGTATCGTTGGATCTGAGATACGATATGATGACGCGACTTTCTTTTTGGTTATTTGGAAAACAATCATTTCTTATAGTATTGAACACTTTCTCATTAGTCCATACATCGTCTAACACAATTAGATACTTTTTACTGGATAAAGCCTTCCGCAATTGTTGAGTCAAGTAATCCTTGTTTTTGTGATCAACTAGTTTATCAGAGGGGACGACGACTCCAAGTTGATCGAGAACAAGCAGCACAATTTCTTCTGATTGACTATATTGTGGGCCGATGTGCACAAATAAACGAATTTCGAACTTCTCGATAACAAGTGGATCAATGTAAACTTGTTTAGCAAGCGTAGTCTTACCAATGCCAGTCATGCCCGCCAGTGTTGTGGCTGACATAAATGGTGTGGGATCGAAAATCCATTCTTTAAGTTGTTTAATTTGGTCATCCAATCCCACCACAAGGTTTTTTTGTTGGTTCCAAGTATTATATTCAGAAGAAGAAGAATACCTGCAGATCTGTTGTTGTTGTTGTTGTTGTTGTTGTTGTTGTTGTTGTTGTTGTTGTTGTTGTTGTTGTTCTTTGTCATTGATGTTCTTGGGCAGAGTTGCTGAGAGAAACGAACCAACTTCTTCGTTGACATTTTGCAGTTGTTGGGAGAAAGAAAAATTGAGACTAATCTCATCTGCAGAGATGCTTCTTTTAGATTCAGAGAGAAATAAGTCCGATACAAGGGAGTCGATCAGATCCTCGAGTTTCTGTGCGGCATCTTTGACTCGTTTCTCCGAAGCCGGGTCAACTATCTTGTTGTTAGGAAGGGATTTGATTGTTTTGAGGAATGAAATCAAGTGAGGAAGCTCATTATAGATAAGCATTGTTTCCGAGAGTGAAAGAACGTCTTTGGTTTCGTCATTGCTCAGCAGTTGCTCGATTGTGTGCTTAAGGGAAACTACGGCCGCATAAGCCATTTTTTTTCTTCTTCTTCTTCCTCCTCTCCCTGTTATAGCCCAAGAACACATGTAATATTATATAACACTATAACAGTCAGCCAGCTTGCATTATATCATATAATAATAATCCTTTGCATGTGATACATAAGCTCTTCCATGTGATTGTGATTAAATGGCTTGTGACCTATTAATTAGCTTTTTTCTTTTTGTTGAGGAAAACCTATTAATTAGCTTTAATACGTGTAATTATTTTGAGATTTTCTTATAACTAATACTGATGAAGAGTATATATTGGGATTTCTAAGTTTAATTCTCCTTTACAACTTTGTTTCTTTTCTTTGCACCGAGAGTGGTTCTTCACTTCAGAAAGTTATATATACTCACTTTCTATATTTTTTGGTAAATTTCACTTCCCCTTGTACTTTGGATTGGTATCAGTTCACCCCTTCTACTCTCGATTGCATCGATTTGCTGCTAGTTGTCAGACATTTACTTCTAGTACTTGAAAAATTGTTTCAATGTGGTCCTCACTGCTAGTTGTCATACATTTGACCTTAACAACGTTTGATCTAAAATCTGAAATTACAAAACCATCAGGTCTCTCAATTTAAATAAGGGAAAAATACAGTTTGCACCCCTGAACTATGGAGTTTGTCACAAACACCTCCTTGAACTAGGAAACGTAACAAAATGACCCCTCCATTTACAATATGTTAGTTGATGATGACTTGACATGTTAACTTTCTCAATTATAATTATTTTTTATATTGTTTGTCATTTTTACCCCTCAAAAAAAAATATATATATATATATATATATATATATATATATATATATATATATATATATATATATATATATATATATATATATATATATATATATATATATATATATATATATATATATATATATATATATATATATATATTACTAATTGGTCAATCATATTTTAATTTTTAAACTATCAGAATATCAAAAAAAACAGTATTATTCAAATATAATTAAATCTGCAAATCATTAAAAAGATAAAAGTAAAAAAAAAAAGAGGAAATATCTGCAAATGCTCCTCTCTCTCTCTCTCGACATACTCTCTAGAACAGAGTCTGCAAACTCTATCTTCTCATCAGAATCATCATGAAACTCTCCTCAATCAAGTAAATGCTTACATGAATTAAGGAATAAGAACAACACATCATCTCTTCTGCCCTACAATTTAGATATGCAATTTTCTCGAAGAAAGGTTCCATAAAAAAGTCCCCAAATTTCAGTTTCTTGCAAGGATTCTCAAGCATCCCCTCAATCCCAATTAGGTAGTAATCTCAGAATATTTCACCAAAAAAATACAAGTTATAGTGAAGATATATCAGACAACCCAACAAAAAAACTAATGAGATCATGTTGCCATGAAAAAATCGAACATTTTATGGCGCCATTTTGTTATATCCTTGTTGCAGTCCACAACAATTTGGTCTCTCTCTCTCTCTCTCTCTCTCTCCCCGCTTAGGCCAGACGCGAACCATTGCTCCGATTCGTGCAGGCTTCTATTGCTTCCCGACTCGGCTCATTTAGTTGGAAATTTGAGATTTCGATTTGAGGAAGACGACGCAGCGGGGGACTTTGAGATGTAGTAACGGAGGCGAAAGTGGTGAGATTAAAGAAGAGCTTGATATTGGGACCATCAAAGAAGAGATTCACATAGAAACGGGTGCGGTGGTGGCCAGGATTGAGGCTGTCGGCGAGATGCTTGTCGTGGCAGTGGGTCTTTCTGCTCAATATTTGATTTTGGAAGAAGGTGTGCTTACTATGGTTGTACTCATATTTTAAGGACAAAACGGTAAATGCACACATATACTAACCGTGTTAATTTTTTGATGGTTGACTGAAAACAGTAGGGGCCATTTTGTTATGTTTCGTAGTTCAAGGGGGTGTTTGTGACACCCCCAATAGTTCAGGGGTGCAAACTGTACTTTCCCCTATAAATAATTATTAAAAAACAATAAAAAATTAAAAAAAAAAATAATATAAAATTCAAGAAAACGAGAAAACATAGTTCACGATGCCCAGCCACAATTTTTTCTTAATTTTTTTAATAATTATTTAAACTGGGAGGGGTATTTTTTTTATTTTTTTTTCGTAATTTCCAAACTTAGATCAAACGGGGTTAAGGTCAAATGTCTGAAAACTAACGGCAAGGGTCACATTGAAACATTTTTTTCAAGTACAGGGGGCAAACCGATGTAATTGAGAGTAGAAAGTGGTAAATTGATACCGAACGAAAGTACAAGGGGGAAAGTGGAATTTACCCAGTATTTTTATACGATTACGTCTAGGCCGTGGCTATTTGCAATACTAATTTCAATCATACAAGACCATATTAAAGAAAGATTCCAAAATATTCTATTTTATTAAGAAGAAATTACAAATATACCCATAAATTAAATTGGCTTTTGTTTGTTCATGCAAGACCAAATACATGATTGTGCATGTTCGGAATTCATGTGAATTGACTAACATAGAAGATCCCACGAGATTGTAGTTGAGGGTAATGCTGAATGCATTAAGTAAAGGGTTAAATACAAAAACACCCATGTACTATGGACTTTGTATCATTTACCCCCCTCTACTACACATAAATACAAAAACCCCATGCTATTATATTTTTTCCAAAATATGACGAAAATATCCCAGCTAAACCTATAAATATAAGGGTTTGTTTGAGCCATTTTCCACTATATTTTTAAGATTTTCGGTCAATTTTATTTGGGAAATTTTTATTTTTTTTATTTTTTCCTTTAAAACATTTAATTACTTATATTCTTTTTTTAAATTTTCTGAATAAAAACCTTTTATTTTCGTCATTTTGAATTTATTCATTTTTTTCTTAAATGTCTTCCGGTGGTTCAAATTATCAACAATAATAGGATTGTAAAGATGTTTGTAATCTTAGGATGTTTGAACTACCGGAAGACATTTAAGAAAAAAAATGAAGAAACTCAAAATGACAAAAATAAATGGTTTTAGTTAGAAAATAAAAAAATATGTAAGCAATTAGATGTTTTGGAGAAAAAAGTATAAATACCAAAATTTTCAACGTAAATTTGACTGAAAATTGTAAAATATATAGTGGAAAATGGCTCAAAATACACACACACATATATATATGTGTGTGTGTGTAACAACACGAGTTTAACAAATAGATCCATCAGATCATAAGTTGGAATGACTACGCTTATTTACCAAGTTTTTTATTAAAGTCACTTTTAAAAAGAACATTTTAAAGCTATCGACTTGCGAATATTATCTGAGTTCGCTCCCTTGTAGGCATTAGGGGGTTAACTTGAGGGGTACCTTGTAGGTACTCGGTATTCAAAAAATACCCAGGTGCCCTATTGTACTATTTTCCCTTTGTGCGAGGTTTATTTTGCCCAAGGGGTTCGTTACTCGCCAAGGTTTTAACGAGGCAACATATGTTGATTGAAAAGATTGTGCGTTATACTATTTTTTCTAACCGTTGTTTTTTGCCCACTAGGTTTTATTATTTGGGAGGTTTTAACGAGGCAACACGAAAAATACAATAATATTTCGATAGGAATCCCCAAGGGGAAGTGTTGTAAATAATAAGGAAAAGTTGATTTTTCCATCCTAACACGTGAGAGGTTGTAACCTCCATGTTCCACTAGAGATTCTCAACTTCACACTACCCCATTATCTACACACCTTGTAGTGGTTGTAACCCCTATAATTTTCTCAATATAGATTTGTTCTTTACATCCTATGTTTCTCTCTTTCTCTTGTTGTTTACATTGTACTATACTGCATTATTCTACAATCACCGAACCAAAAAGCTAGATAAATAGGTCACTTTACAAAACAAAATATTCGCGAAAAGGAAACCTAAAAAATTAGCAAAAAAAATAAAACGTTTTTATAGTAGCAGGCTGCGACAGCCAAAACATTCCCGTAAACCAAATTAGGAAGAGTCGATTTCATTGAATCCGGATTTCCTTTGTTCGCAGTCGATGGAAAGAGTCGAAAGCCATGCCGAATTTTAGATGGATAATGTTCGATCAGTGAGTTAGTATCCACCCAAAAAACATCATTATTCCCAGACTTGCTTCTCAGTAGCATGCATCAACTATGTAAAATTGCGTGTTACACAAGAATGGCCTCGCGAATAAATCAGGGAATCTAAATACAAGTTCCAATCACCCAAAAAAAAAAAAGGAAGATATAAAATATCATAACCGGATTTATGAAAGCTTTAAAGCCCTCCATTAACACAAGTCTCCTTGAGATTCTGCAATGCTTGCCGAATAGAATCTTCGTCTTGGTTGGAATACTTTAGGCATATCAGCCGCTGAGCAACACGGTAAGCCATTTGAATATGATGATGCTGCTGCGAATTTATTCTTATTTTCTTCACTTCCTATACACACACATAATAAATCGCATGTAAACAAAAAGCAATCAAAACCTCTCTTCAACGTTTTCATGGATCAAGCTTTACCAAATTCAAAAACAAAAAAGCAAAATTCACCGTGCAGCTAAGTTCAAAATAGAATCTCTCTGGTAGATAGATAATGTTCAAAGAAATACGATTGATTACTCGCGCTAGAGAGTGATATAAAAATGATTGTTTTGACTGAATTTGTGGATGACAAGCTTTGTTTACCGCCGCCATTGCATCAATCATTTAGCCTATCAACTGCTCGATGATTTCAGTATTCCATGAAAGAAAGACTGAAGTATTCAATTCTAAAACAGGCTTATGTTTTATGCAAGAAAGTCCACATAAATATCGAGTGAATAAAAAATCTACTGGTTAAAAATACCTCTTCAGTAATCTTCGATGTGATGCTTTTTGCAGACTCTATCACTGAATTTGGCAATCCAGCTACACCCGCGAGCATGAGGCCATAGTGTGCTACATGCCGAGGGCCATCTTTCAGTAGAAACTGGTAAAAATAATTGAAGTGAGAAGAATATAAGATGCGGTCTATCAAACAAGAACAGTTCATCTAGTCAATTGTTTTACCTTGAAATCCATGCGTTTGTTCTTAATATCAACGTCAAAGTGAACAATTTTCACATTTGGATAAATTGTGGCCAACTGGGATAGGTTTTCCATGTGAGTAGCAAATATAGTATACCTAAAATAAAAAAAAATAGAAAAAATATTAGTTCATGTAATGCTTTAGTTTCTCTTTTTTGGAAGTGACTGTCCATCCATAACAGATGTTGCTTTAGTTCATGTAATTACGCTCTTAAAGCCAGAAGATGCTCGCAGCAGCTCCATGAAATTGCAAACCCGTCAGACGAAGATGTTGCTCTCCCCAATTCATCTACAACAATCAGACTTCTATACAAACAAAATAAATCTATGAGAGACATCGTTGATGAAGCCACCACACAGCAAGGATGGCATAAAGATTTTTAATATACCTATGAGAAGCATTTTGCAGGATAAAAGCTGTTTCTTTCATCTCCGTCATAAACTGCATTATGAAAGATGTACAGAAAAACGATACTCATCTAATGATCTTTATACATAAACATTCCTGATTCAAATTGAATAGACTGTGTGCATATGAGATGTAAGATGACATGATTAGTTTCACTTCACTTGGCAACTCAATGTTGCATTTTACTCAGTTCAACTTTAGGCTGGGAAATAAATGAAAATCTCTTCTATAATATCAAAACCAACATTGCTAATGAACTTAATAGTTTACAGACGACTTTTGCTTCATAATCCAGACCTGGCCCAAAAATTCATTTATGCAACTTATGTATGTGACCAATCCTTCAACATTAACTCTTCTAATTGCTACTATCAAGAATACAAAACTTGTTTTTAATTTTATTTCAAGATCTCAATACACTTAAGGGAACCGTAGGCACTTACTTCTCTTTTGAAATTTACTACCAATAAAAACATAGACTAAAGACTGGAAGAGTAAATATCAATTTATTGGAAGAGGACCAATAATTGTATCACGATCCTATAGTTGAAATCCCGAACACATCTTTTGATGGAAACTATTTCATGACAGTTTTCAGCATCGCTCATTAAATAACAGCTTTTCATCACTCAATCCTGCTTAATTCCAACTTTTGGGAACAATTCTCTCTGTTACAACTTAGGCCCTATCGAATGAGCTTTACAGGGGTTCGTGTCAGTTGGAATAGGAAAGGTGAATACTTTTACTAAATAAATACCAAATAGTGAAGACAAAATAAATACAATAAAACTACAAGGTCAAAAAATTTACCGTGCTAGAATTTGATTCAACGCTGTCCATAGTTCCCATCCTGGTAAATATGCGATCAACTACTCTTAAAGTTGCAAAGCGAGCAGGCACATAACAACCAATTTGAGCAAGGATGACTACAAGACAAACTTGTTGAAGATAAGTACTCTTTCCACTCCTGCAGGTAAACAATGTATAGTTACAGTTGTTCAGAAGAATTATATATTCTATTTTTGCTTAGTAGACAAAAAAATCATCCCATAGGTAAGAATAGTATTAGGTTTACTTACATGTTTGGGCCTGTGACAACTATCATATTTGATGCTTCAGAAAGAAAAATGTTGTTGGCCTGGAAAAAGAAAATTTACTAGTCCTTCTCAATTGAATTCAATTTGTGTCCATTTCAATTTAGAAATTTCATAAGATTGTGAGGCCAAAAGAGGATGGCATGATCATTATTGTCAGAATACAAACTTACAATAAACTCGTTGTGTACGCTTTCAAGGATGGGGTGCCTTCCCGAATCAATTGCCAATGGACCATCATCTACAAGAAATATTCTGAAGTTATTTTTATCATTAAGTAATCAAATTATAACATCAAACTAGGTGATCTGCACTTACATGTAAATTGAGGTCTAGTATATTTGTCAACTGGCTTCGTGGATATTGTATGAGCAAATGAATTGACTATCATATCCAGAAGGCACAAGATTTCTGCTAGAAGAGTGAGCATAGATACATCCTCCCGTATGGTATCAATTAGACCTGAATGTTAACAGTCGGACCATAGGTTTCAACTCGATTAATTTTTCCCAGCCACATAGTGGGAACAACTTGAATTTTTATTCGATAACTGAAGAACCAATCAAAAACATGGTGGAAGAAAATAGACACTAACAGAACATATGGCACAAGACTGCACGCCAAACATTAGATATCAAGTGTTCAATTAGTTGAAAAGGCACACAACCTTGTCGCAGATATATATGACCAATTACATGTAGTTTGCCAGAACAGATTTTCATAAAATTCAAATGAAAATGTCTTTTGTGATATATATAAGGTCCACTGTTCAAGATAAAATGCAGAAAAAGCTGATGAACTTGTCATACTATCAGACAAACTCGTGAATTATAATTGTACGCAGTCAAGTTAGTAGTTACACAATAGTTTGTAAACATACGTGCACCTAAATATGAGATTTAGCCAATTGAATTTAAACAGACCTTCCAGGCAAATTTCTGTCCTGGTATAACACTCTTTAGCTGCAGATTTGTTCCTTACGTTCAACTGCAATTGGAAGAAAGAGTGAAGGCAATTAAACATGGACCTGGATCAAGAATATAAAAAGTAAAAAATGAAGAGTCGGGGACGACGGTGAGAAACTTTGGATTCTAATATTCAAATGGAAGAAGATATACCTAAAGACCTTGTGGTTGACGAATTAACTCAAATCTAATTTCATAAAAGTATTGTATTTTGATTTATCGTTTTGATCACAGTTAAATCCAGCCTATCCTTTCATTTATTTCTTTTGAGGGATCAACAGAACATAAAAGACATATCTCACTGGACCCAAAAGCATACCAAACCATCAAAGTGGGTAAGTGACTCAATTACGGTTTCCACCCCGATTGCACTAAGATAAGAACTTTGACAATGTAAATAAATTTTCAATTATGAATGTAGAAGATAATAATTGATTAATGTATTGACAAGCAAAGTGACAAGTCTACTCACAGAGGCCAGCTCCAGAGAAGAACAATGTATGTTGTTTCCATGTTTTACGACCTGATAATGTCCAAAGGAGGATGTTGGAATCGTCCTAGGAGTTTTTTGAAAGAAAATAGGTCGAATTTTTTTAACCTGGATGAACTTGCTGGGAAGTTTTCCCTGTATGTCCTTCTGAGGTATGCTAAAGTAAAATCCCTGCCTGTTGTTGTATGGGATTTTCAGATTTGGTACCTTAAAATCCTTGCGGTATTTGCTTGCCAAGTTGTATATTGCTGCAAACACATCTGATTAGAATGCTAGAAATAGAATACTGGATGACAATTTTTTCACTTCGTCCTGCAGAAGAAACCTTCACTGGTGTCACAGAAAGATCTCCGTGCAATATCCAGATGTCCATCAATTCCTGCCTTGACAGCAAAACACTGCTCGGTGCGGGCGACAAAAGGAACGCGTGCATGAAGAACATCTTCATCAATCACCTCTCCGATCCTAAAAGATCCATGTCCCACCGTCACTTTTTCATACTTCACATTTACACAAAGGTGGTAGACTTACTTACAGGCTGCTAAATTTCTGGACGATAAGACCACAGCAAGTCATTAAAGCCAGACTTAATGTTTGTTTTTTTATGGTAGGGTGTACAGATAGTAAATGTGTAATATGAGAAACCGAAATTACGATAAGATTTTCAAATTTTATTTAAGGGTGTAGATTAACATTATAGTATATAAGAATCACAATCCTACATGTTCCTCAATCAGACAGGAAGAATGATTGATGTTAAGCATGAAGATGAAGATGAACATAAACAACCAATTTACCTTTTCCTCATGAGATCAAATTTCTCATTCTCGCATATGGACGTGTAAATATTTCTGAGTAAAAAACAGTTGGCGTCCTTAAGCACCTACAGTGAGTAGTGATTAGAAACTCATAAAGATGAAATTATACAGCGTAACATATAGAAAGGTCTGTGTACTTTGGACAGTAATGGTAATGCATCAAGAGCCGTCTTGAGAAGAATAATGCTTGATATCAAGATTTGGCTCTTTCTGGAATTGTCAATGGCCAAGACTCCATTAGTAACTTTCTTTTGTTTAAAACAGAAGTGACAAAGGACCTTATCTGGATGCGGTATATGATATCATCAGTTTTGTACCATAAAACAATGCATAGCAGCAAGAAATAAAAGATAATTTATCCGTTATCTTTTTGCAATACTTACCCGTTTCTTTTGGAAACTTACGAAGGGCCTGGGACAAGCCAAAAAACAGCTGTTCGTTGCTTGTCAATTCATCCTGAAATTAAATTCAACCATGTCGCAGTGTTGCTAATATAGTTTAATTACAGCAATTCACACTGTTATTTTCTAGGACATGTAATATTGCGTGACTGATAATTTTTTAAACACGTCTTCTTTGGCAAGCTCAAGCTTTCAGATTTGGTGATTCAATACAATATCTAGAATAAGGATGTAGTATAGAGTCCTATCGAGCAACACCAATGAACAAGAAGTTTAATATTTTTCTATGTAGGAGCTTAACCTATAAATGAGGTTGCAGTTAACAAATTTCAAATTTGAGTATTTGGAGTAATCGCTATTGTTCTTTACAAGTAGCTTATGCCCTTTCTCGGTGTACAGGAATGATGAATAAGGAATAAAATAATGGATAATTATTTTTCATTCACCTTGCTGCTGTGACGAAATTAATTGGAATAAGAAGCGTAGCTATATAGGGGACGCTTCCCAGATCCATTTACTGCAACATATGCTAGTTATTAAATTGCAAGAAATGTGGAGATGTAGTTAACGTCTTAACGAGCTAATATTTGAGATGTTGGCAATGGCACGGCGGTCATGCAAACCCGACCAGCCAATTTTGAGCATTATAACTAGCAGTAAGCAGATTCATAATACTAATGTTCAAAGGAATAGTGAATTCTACTACCAAGACATGTTTTGTTGAAGTCAGATCACAGATGTTATAACAGAAGATACATTAATAACAAAGCTAAATTCCCAAATCTAGATACACATCTGCTTGAATTCGTGTTGATGTAGCAAAGCATTCATTATATTTATATCGCACAAATGAAGAAAACCAAGATACATGTCCTAAGTTTCTGATATCATGTCCTAAGCTTCTGATAGAGTCATATTAAAACTTACCAGGCAATCCAGTCGTGCATTAATAGTCTCAATGTCTTTAAGAGGTTGCAAAAGATTGGCTCGCAGAAGTCTTGTCCTGCAGAGATACAGACATACAGGATTGCTGAGTAGTAGAAACATGCCATTATATTCTGCAGAGCCATCAATTTCAAAAATCTGCACAGATCAATATCTCCATCACATAAGAGATTGACTTTTCAAAATCAGGTATGGCATGATTTTGCTTCGATCACTGACTCACAACACGACGACATATCTATGTATAAATTTCAAAATCAGGTATTGCACAGATGAATATAAGTTGAGGACCAAAGCTAGAAAATAACAAAGATAAATTTACATCTGTCCATCTTAGAACAAAACATGAATCTATAGGGGTTCTTTTACAATCAGTCGTCAGTTGGAGGGAAAAGCTGCTACTCGTGAAAGCATTATGGTGCAACATATTAATATGTGGCAATTAAGCACTGAGCAATGACATCAATAATGATTTATGAATGGTAGTTGGAATACCCTCCAACCGTCCGCGTTGTCTTGAGCATGTGAAACAGACTTCTCTTCTTGTTGTTAGTGCCCAAAAGACTAGAGTGCATCGGCTCAATGATTTCCAAGTTCTGGACACTGTAATCAGAGTATATTACATTCATCATAGTACATTAATATCTTTCGCATTATAAAGCTATTGGCAAGACGGATTCTGACAACTGAAAAGGGTTGGAAAATAACTTTTAAAGTTAAAAGTTGTAGGGCATTCTTCTCGAGAAGAAGGATACCTGGTAGCGTCTATATTCATGTGGTCAAATGATCCATTAAAAGTAACCTGAAAGAGGTAAAATTTCACAACAGATATAAATTGGTGACAAAATAATAGAACTTGACTGAGTCGGAAATGTAGTAAAAGATCAAACAGAGCTAACCATGTTAGAGAAAACCAATACTCTGTCAACAATGAAATATTCCTATTTCCCCAATTGAACCCTCTACATTGATGTTCAACTTCCTAAAATGGTTAGTCGTTGTTTGAAAGTCCACTACATAAAATCAGTTCTCCTAAATGACTTAATCATCGGTGAAGATAAACAAAATTTCTGCCTTTTCAACTCCCACATGTAGTCCATGCCAAATCGTAAGGACTTTCAAACTTGGAAAAAAGAGAACAGTTCGCAAGAAGATAAGCATTATTATCTGCATTAACATAATCATACTATTGTATATCTATCCAATTCCAATACTCCTAACACTTTCCTAAAGGTCATCTATTATACGAGAGAGAAAAATAGTTCTCTCATTATTATAAACTGCAGAAATATAATGAACCTGGTGCAGCCTAATGGATGAAAATGTCCATAGCTAAATAAAAATGGTGGAAAACCAAGCCCAATCTAGTGAATCATTCATTTTATTGCAGGAAATACTCGATAACTGATTCTGTCATTCATTTGTTCACAATTGAATCTGTATATAAATGAGAAAATTCAAGTGATATACAGAATTAACATTTGAAGTATGGTTGAATTCCAATTAGGACAGCATCGATCCCATCAATACTCTCAGGATCATCAAGCAGCAATTTGGTTATTATATCAACCGCACTTGTCATTAGATAAACCCTAACATGCAAATGAATAACGGTGGCAAGTGGTTCTTTAAGAGAGTGTAAGCTAATGTTAGGCAATTTTCTCAAGCAACAATGATGTTGTTTCCACATTATTGCTCTCATCCGACTTGGCTTTCAAAAATCATAATTGGAATGTTAAGAATCAGGGGTTTGGTTAAAAAATTGATAAGTTCCAACATAAACATGTCAGTTTGAATCTTAAAGAATCCCATAAATATAACATTTCTTGATGTTTTTTACACTAAAAAGAAACAAACATATATTTTAATCTCAATTTTCAGCAATTATTTCATTTCCAATACTTCCATAATGTCCAGAGGATGCTGGGGAGTACACAAGAAGAAAATTACTTACACATAAGGAGTGGTTAGTGATGATCACCCCTTTCTCTGATTCTATCCTGTGCATAATGCAGTACAAAATTTATTTGAGAGAACTGCCTAATGAAATTTTTTAAGCAAAATGCAGGTTTAAACTTATAGCGTTGAACTTGAAATTGGCCACAAGAAAAAAGTGGGTGCCCAAAGCAATTTAGAACCAGGAATAGCACATCTAGAGGTAAATCAAAGAGGGAAAAAATGTAGGAGAAAATTACAGAACAATGAATAGCAATTGATGAGATAAAAGTAATGCAGCAGTCTCAAGAACCTAGCTCCAACAATGGTTTGGAAACATTTAACGATTCCACGGACCCTGACTGAAAGGCTTATGAAGTGTTTGTTCTAGGAAACATAACATATGAAATGAGCTGCATAAAGCATTTGGCTTACTTTAATGTTGTACCCATTTCAATTTTTCCGTTTAGTCTTTATGCCTTCATAAGAAAACTTATTAGACGGGGATGTTGAAAGTTTAAAATGAAACATAAAATGTCCATTTAGATCGCAGGGACTCGATCTGAAAAATGATAGGTTTGCTGTGTCGAAAAAGCAGGTGATAACTCATAGTCTAGAGTGTATGCCCTATTTCCATGATTTTAAAATTATCATTTCTAAGATCAGGCAAATAAACACTCTCTCTGTAATTTAAAGAAAGCTAGAATGAATAAATACCACTTGATGGTCGCGGCTGCTGCAGCCAAGCAAAGATAATATTGCTTGTAATAATTATCCAAACCAAGCGCAGATGGCTCCTTCGCTGCCAAGTTTTTTACTAACACAGCCCCCTTTTAAGAAGAATCCAACAATTGGTATTATACATCAACTCCAAACATAATAAGTAAGAGAATAAATTTGCTATGTGGCTACCCTGGTGTCATCAAAGCAACCGCGAGCCATTATAACCTGCAGATGCGAACACAAGTTATTTTTACTTTATGAGGCGCCATGAATCATAAAATCCGAACTTACACAGAGATTACCTTTGTAGTTGTAGAGAAAAACCTGTCAACCAACTCAGAGACTCCAACCATGCCGTCAGGAGCCAACTTAGTAGGTGAAACTATAATAACCATTGGATCATAAAAATTCAGTAATGTCTTTGTGTTCTGGTACGAGCTGCTAGTCTCAATATACTGAGAAAGGTGGAATGAAGCTGATCTCAAGTCGAACGCAGCAACTCCAACCTGCAAGTTAGGTAGTATGATAGTTTACCAACCGCAATAAGTGGTAGATAACTTACTGACAAAATTTAACATCACTAGAAAACATTTTCATTCCTCGGTTATCAATTAACTTCATAAAATAGTGTGGAAGTACTTAAAGTCTCTAGATTGAACGGTCTTTCCTGAAGATGTTAACATATATCAAGGAACTTTAGCTAGGATAACTTCAATACAACTAACAAATTCCGGTGCAATTGACGGAGTCGACTCTCGAATGTAAGAACAGACAACACATTGTGTATCCACTCTAGAGTCATCAATTTCAAGTCTCCGTTTCCAACTTCTCCAACTTAGTTAATATAACATACATATCCATGTAAAACTCATAGGGATTTTATGCTTGCCACTTCTAGACGGAAATTTGAAGTTTCTCCACGAATAATATGCAATTCCAACGTTTTAACAAATTCCGGCCCAATAATTCACATACGAACCTCAGAAATAACATATGCATTAAATGAAATCAGTTTTTCATGAACTGCCCAATAATCATAGAGATACAGTCTTACGCTCAATAAACAGTTAATTCAAAAATATTACTAAGGAATTTCCCATTGCCCAGGAAAATCAATTCCATTTGTGTTTTTTTGCCCAATACTAGGAGTTCCTTCACGTATGATCTATGTAACTGAACATTGAACAGCAGATCAATTACAATCAGTTCAAATACGCAATTGCACGAATCATACACATGTAGAGATAAGCACAATTAGAAGCTCAGTTAAAAAAAAAAATCCAATAATTTCATATAATCACATATAATCTAACCTAGCACCCACGCAATACAGAAGTTCCTCCATATATAATCAACGTAATTGTGTGTGTGTGTGTGTGTGTGTCGATGTGCGTGTTTAGAGAGAGAGAGAGAGAGAGAGAGAGAGAGAGAGAGAGAGAGAGAGAGAGAGAGAGAGAGAGAGAGAGAGAGAGAGGGAGAGAGAGAGGGGAGACCTCTTTTGCGCGGTTCTCGATAAGACCGACGATGAAGCTGGATTTTTCGCCTGTATCGTCTTCCATTTGAATTCTCGCTCTGACTTGATTTGATTATCAAATGCTTGCGCGCCACCATATTTATACTACTACCGCGCTACAGTAGAAATGCGGGCGGGGTGTGTATGAAATTACTACGAGATAATGAGATGGTCTACGAACTCGAACTCGAGCTCATCGAGCCAATTTTTTTTGGCTCGACCTCGGCTCATTAAATTTTTTTTATTAAAATCATTTAATTTGTGATTAAAAATTATTTATAGGAAAATAAAAAAAATATAAAATAAATAATGAACTCTAGTTATATTTTTTTTAATTTTTCTATTATTATTATAATATTTTATATTATTATGAATTATTTAAGTAATATAGATTTGTTTCTATTTAAATACTAGAAATATTTATTAGTATAGACTATTTACTATTTAGTTAATAATAATAATAAGAATAAGAATAATATATATATATATATATATATATATATATATATATATATATATATATATATATATATATATATATATATATATATATATATATATATATATATATATATATATATATATATATATATATGTATACAAAATAAAAAAAAAGAAGAAGGCAGCTCGCAAGCTGTCGAACAATTAGATTTGGACTCGAGCTCGAGCTCGTCCGAAGTTCGAGCTCGTGAGCTCGAGTTCCAGCCTTTGTCGAGCCGGCTCGTCGACTTCGCGAGCCGGCTCCGCTCGTTTACCACCCCTACACTTGTGGAAGACCAAACTAAATTTCTCAATGTAAATACTATAATACCCTTACTTGTTAAAAAAATAGAAAATTCCAAATGTGCAATACCAAAAACTCAAAAAAAAAAAAAAAAAAAAACCCTATCACAAAACTACAAGACCAACTTTCATCTTCTCCAACAAAACCTTTCTCTTTCCTCATCTATAAACCCACAAAACCTAAATATTCAAAATTATCAAAACTCAAAAAATCTTACAAAAATGGCAAGTATGGAGTTAGAAGACATCAGAATAGCATTTCTATGTTTTTTAGCTAACATGTCGTTTTTCCAAAAAAACAAATCCCGCGCAGACGCAGTCGACACGTACATGTCGATTAGGCAAAAATCGACATTGAGATGTCGATTTTTAAGTACAAAATCGACACCTTAGTGTCGAAATTTAACTGTTAGCAAAGTAGTCCAAATATACTAAATTTCGATATTAAGGTGTTGAATTTATGGACATATATTCGACACCTTAATGTCGAAATTTAGTTGTTTCATATTTTAAAAAAAAATCCCGCGCGGACACGGTCGACATGTACATGTCGAATTTTATAGGTAAAAATCGACATTGAGATGTCGATTTTGGAGTACGAAATCGACACCTTAGTGTCGAAATTTAACTGTTAGCAAATTAGTCCAAATATACTAAATTTCGGTATTAACGTGTTGAATTTATGGACATATATTCGACACCTTAATATTGAAATTTAGTTGTTTCATATTTTTTTATTATTTGTTATTTGGTCTTGCCTGAGCAAACAAAAGTCGATTTAATTTATGGATATATTTGTCATTTCATCTTAATAAAATGGAATCTTTTGAAATCTTTCTTTAATTTGGTCTTGCACAAGTGGAATTAGTATTGCATATAGCCGCAACCTTATTTTTTACTATATCAATATAAATAGAAAATAAATATAGGAACAACCTAAAAGAAAAATGTAATTTTGTCCAAAGAAAAACAAACTGAAATGGAATTTACTCAAAAGATAAAAGAAAAAGGGAAATGTAATTGTTGGGAAAATCTTTTTATTCAAGAAATGACATTACAATACCATTTTTAGTGGCAATTTTTTTTCTAATGTTGTTTTGAAAAACAGTTTTTTAAAATGATGTTGTTTTACAGGTAGTAACCAAATTGGGATTGAGCGCCAATCCTCACGGCGACACTGGCAGGAGGCGCCACCACCAACGGCGGTACCGGACGAAGGCGCCACGACCAACGGCGCCTTCAACATATATATTTGTTACTTTATTTTTAGATTCTTAATTTTTTTTTACAAAATAAAACAATTCAAACTAAATTCATTAGTATGAAACTAGTATTAAATTTATTATATTTTATATACTTTCTCCATTTAGTATTAAATTAATCATTGCATATTTTTATCTAATTAACACACTAAAATAGTGGACAATCTTAAGAACATATAGACAAAAATAAAAGGAGTTCTAGAAAATAAAAGATTCATACAAAATAAATATGTCCAATAGCAAAAACAAAATTAGTTTTTCAAGGAAATAAAATTGGCACTATGAAGTCAGTGCCTATGTGAACCAGTGCCACATGCAGATGCCCGTCTAGTCCTACGCGGTCTACCATCTCAACGAATGTCAGGTTCTGCTGGTACATCATTAACAAACTGGGTGTCATCCGGTGGATATGGAACAGGGAAAACATTATACTGTGGTCGGATCCGCTCTTGGGGACTTGAGTATCCCAAGTTGAGCTCCAAATGTGGACCCCATGAAGAGAATCGAGTATCAATAGCATGAGGATATAGGGTAGCTAGAGAATCGGACCATGGCATATCTGGAACGTAATCATTCGTAGATGGACCAACTAAATCTGTAAATGTGGGTACCTGAGATGTAGACGAACCGAACATATCCATAAATCCCTGTGTAGTAGATAAATCGTCCATACCTCCATGCACAGAAACATCTGCATAAAAGGGTGTATGAGAAGCAAATGGACCGGCAACATCTCCAGATGGAGGTACCCGATATGTAGATGCATAATAGTTCCCCCCTCTCTCGTCTGTCTCACGTCATGCTCCAATTCAGTAGCTCTTTCGGCAGCGCTAAACCTTCTTTTGGTACGTCTATCTCGATGCGGAGAAGGTATAGGAGATATGGCAGGTATCGGAGGTAAGCTGGACGAGGCACCATCTCTACGTAGAAGTTGAGTCCCAGCTGCATACATTCGTGTAGCATTGTCCTGATACAGATCATATATCCGATCGTCATCTCGAGACACTGCCCTAGCAGCAAGACTCATGGATATAAGCTGATTACCCTGAAATAAAAGGCATTACAAGTTTAAGAACTTAAAAAATTAAAAAACAAGTTGAAAAACATCGAAAGTAATGGTTGTTTTGAGAAAAATACTAACCACAAGATCCAGTAAAATCGGGTCTCCGACCTGAAAACTGATATCATCAAGATTGTCAATCGGTGATATCAAACGACGTGTGTGCCTCTCATGCCACTCGTAGTATCCTGGATCTGTCTAAGGCCCACTAAAGTCAATAAATGGATATTCAACGGAAGAATCAAGTCGGTCATGCCATCTATCAACATAGATACGGTGAAAACGAGCTCAATCTCTACCCCATGCACCTCGACGATCATAAGAATGCAATTTAATCTCAATATCGTGATCGGTAGGATGTGGTGGTATGTGTTGTACCCTCCCAAACTGACGTAGCACCCTATACGGACGATGCATCTCAACTCTCTCGTAAAATATAGAGGGACAACTCGACAACCAAACTGGATGCACTATCTCAGGATGCTCAAGTAAAGCGCCAAACTCAGGATCTAGTTCACTATAAGGCATCCATGTAAACTAGAAAAAAAAATATTTTTTAATATATTGTTAAATAGACCACAAACATTAATGTAATTGCAATTAACTTATAATAACCTAATCCCAGAGCATCCTATCGAGCGTCGTCACGTTTAATTCGGAATGTTGTTTTGTGGGCAATACTATATTGCACTACCCAATCATCAGGAATTATGTGACATCCAAAGTACACGTACACTTTAACATTATTTTTAACCGCCATCAATCTTCAAAAGATTAAGGAGATAATTAACTCATCAATCAAGATTAATTAATAATGAGGCACATTAGTTAAAAAATAATAATAATATAATTAAGCACATGCTTATTCTAATGTTTTACAACACCATTCTAGTTACTGTTTTACAAAACAACACTAAAAAAAATTGCCCCTGTTTATAATATATAAATAGTACTAATACCTAGTATAAAATAAATAAACTACTAACTAACTAACTACCCACATGCTTCTAAAAAAAACTAACCACATGTATTTATAATAACTAATTAAAAACAATTGGACATAATAAAAAATTGTAATAATAAATTTTTTTTACCTTGGGTGAAGAGCACCGGCGGCAAGGAGCAAGGAGCATCGGCGGCGACTGGAGGAGCACCGGCGGCGGGGGAGGCATCGGCGGGGGAGGCGGCGGCGGCGAGAATGGAGAGAAGAGTCGGTGGCGGCGCCAACGGAGGGGGTCGCCGGAGGTTTTTGTGTAGTATATATATATATATATATATATATATATATATATATATATATATATATATATATATATATATATATATATATATATATATATATATATATTTTACAAGCAACTTTTTTTTAACAGAGAGAGAAGAGAGGAGAGAGGAGCTGAGCTGGGGAAGAAGCCCGTTGGAGGAGGGACAAAGGAGACGCCAGTGTCGGTGGCGTCTTCCGGTCAGGCACGGTCTCTGAGGCGGCTGGCTCCACTTCAGGCCGTCGGATCATCCACTCAGTTGGGCCATCTACATCGTTCAAATATTAAAATATTAAAATATAAATATTTAAAAATTAGACGGAAGGCGCCAATGGTGGTGGCGCCTCCTGCCGGTGCCGCCGTGAGGAGTGGCGTTCAATCCCAATTTAGTTACCACCTGTAAAACAACACCATTCTAGAAACTGTTTTTCAAAACAACACTAAAAAAAAATTGCCCCACCATTTTTACTGGGGATCGCTAATTACAGTTCCATATTTACGGATACCGCTCACAAAAATTCACTATCTACATTCCCTTTATCTTGTTGAAGTGATACAAACAAAAATAAGTGCATCAAAAGAGGATCGAAATACACATCACGATAAGGTAAAATTATTTATTTTCGTTGCGAATAATTTCAAAATGAGGGCTCATGACCAAAACTAACGTCTGAGATCTACTTTCACGCCCAAATTCGACGCCCAAAACTGACGTCTAAGATCTACTTTCACGCCCAAATTCGACGCCCAACATTGAGTTTCAGGGCAAACTTGGGCGTGCGAAACGCTTTTGGGCCCCCGGT